GAAAATGTATCGACACGGTAGGGAGAATTTGCATGTTAATCGCCCCTGGGAGTTGATTGCTTTTGTCAAGACTATCAGACTGACTGTAAATCGCCCTACTGTATTTTTTGTATACAGGCCTACATCTGGGACCAGTGGCACGAACTCATCGAGCCTTATGCAACTAAAATGCCATATATGGTGGGCATAGGGAATCACGAGCAAGATCATCTTTCAGGAGGCTCTAAGGACCCAAGTGGTGCTCCGGGAGAAGGCTGGCACCCTTGGTGGGGGAACTTTGGCGATGACTCTGGGGGAGAGTGTGGAGTGCCTATGTACTACAGGTTTCACATGCCTGACAACGGAAATGCAGTATGGTGGTACGTGTATTGAAGTTTCCTTTCTGTTAAATCTGTTGTCTCTCCTATCAGACATTATCTGACGGAGCTATTTCTCTCTCTACAACTTGGGGCACTAGTTGTGCATGACTCGTAAAATCTCAACGGTAGCACGATAGCCCGCCCAAAGGGTCAAAAACAAAACCATTTACCAAAACACAGATCAAAAGGGTCAACGTAGGCCATTCATTCCGTCATCCAAAACTTTTGCCTTCCTTTTTTAACGAATGAAAATCATAGAAACGAAAAACAAAACCTTGATGCGAAAGCCAAGGACGAGTTTCTCCTCCACACTAGGTTGGAGTTTGATTAACTTTTTGTCCGGCGCCTCTGTGTTCTAGTTTTCTTTTTTCGGTATCATAGAGAGACTTAAACTCCTGGTCACCACTACTGTTCTGATATTACAGGTACAGTTATGATTATGGAAGCGTTCATTTTATTATGATGAGCTCTGAACATGATATCAGACCCGGATCAAGGCAGTACACTTGGCTGGAAAATGACTTGAAGAAAGTTGATCGGAATAAAACACCTTGGATTGTGTTAGGAGGACATCGACCGATGTATACAAGCCAAAAAGTAGTAGGTAAGAAATTAAAATGGATATAATAGCACTGGTACACATCCACAAAGATGTTTTTACCAAGATTTTCGAAAGGGATTGACAGGTGGAATTGGGCCACAAGGAGATAAATTTCTTTTCAATAATGCCTCTCACATCTATCCTTTGCCTTATTAGACGACTTCATAGTGTCACTTGGCATGCAGTATTATCTGGAAAACCTTCTTCACAAATATCAAGTGGACCTTGCCTTTTGGGGACATTATCACAGCTACGAGAGAACATGCGCAGTTTACAAGCAGATCTGTCAAGAAGAAAAAGGACTGGGGACTACTCACGTGGTTGTGGGCTCGGCCGGGTATGCGTTAGATACGGAAGGTTTCTGGGATTTCTCATGGTCTCGCTTCAGAGAGAATGACTTCGGATATGGAAGAGTCCTTGTGGCTAATAGGTCAACATTGTATTTTGAGTGGGTACGAAATAAAGACAAGATCGTACGCGATAAAGTTTGGTTGGTGAAACCGCACCTTCATGATGAGTATAACACCGTTGCTTATCACTTAAAAAAGAAGTTATCATTGTAAATGCTGCTGAGATCTGCGAACGATGCGATCGAGGTTCACCAAGTTACTTTTCTGGGAACAAATTTAAAGTCTGTGTGTGAGATTCGTACACAAGCGCTCTAACTGGTTGATTTTAATCAATGCTGTATGTCTTTTCTGTATTATTGCTGTTATGATTGCGCAAAGGGGAGATAAATGTTAATGGAAAATGTTTTGTTTGCCATATCTCATTAGGGAAAAAATCGCAATCTTTAATTTTCTATTTTTTCCCATTTTTTTATTCCCGTATAGTTTACACTTTTGATTGCAAAATAAACTTTTCCAGCAAGTTTTCAGGTCCCAGCACCCTTATCACTGCCATGCACCTTAGCTTGTGATTACACCCCGTTCGAATCTTCTCACCTGTCAAAGAAGGATGGTAAAACATTGAGAGCAAGTCAGTAGGAATAAGGATACCTATACAAAAGTAGCTAAGAACCTATGCAAAAGTAACCAATGAGATTTATCTTTCATTTGATATCTGAACAAGTCATGGACACGACTTTGAAACGTAAAAAACATGGTGAAATGTTAAAACTTACACCAATTTACGATTCTTGTTCAGTGGGCATGCGAGACGGGCTATTGGACTCACGAGTTTTTTAAGCTTCTGGAAGGATGGCTCGTAGAATACATCGCTCTCCTTACTGGCGATCTCACTTAACTCCTTACGTTGCTGCTTTTGTTTCATGGCGTCGTACCCCTTTCCCTGAACGCCACAAGCTATTACGTGAGAGATTGCTTTTAGAGCAGGCGCTCTCCGTTTTAATCTTTTCTTGTCATCGTCATTTGTAACGCCGTCAGTTAAGACCACAACTTCCTGAGGGGATATAGAAGAAATGTACCGCAGCAATAAAGAAGAATTTAGCTACTCCATCTTTTAAATTTCTCAATTACTTTACCAAACAAATTCAAGATTAGATTCTCCTTCCCTGATTGTACCATTCCATCGTTTTCCCTTTGGACTATACGTGACCAGTACCTTTCGTGACATACAGATAGCCACTTTAAGCAACAATCTCCATTAGCGAAGCAGAAAACTCGGGAACTGAAGGACAAAAGTCTCAAAGGAAACGAAGATTATAAAAAGAGTTGCTGAAATTCCCCTAAAAACACCCAATATTCTTATCTGTCATGATAACCTTTAACCCCCCCTCCCTCCCCCGCAAAGCTAACTTTCTCATGCTGTTCGTCATTTATCTCTGAATCCTACAGATGAAAATGATCAATACCTTATAATGTTTTATAATCTTGCGATTAACCCTTCTCCTAGAATGGCGCAGCATTCTGGCCGCCAAATCCAGGGCCTTTCCAGTTTTCGTTCCCCCTCGAGTGTAATGCATTCCTAAAATACTCCTCTGAAGTTCCAGAAATCCCCGTCGCTGTGATTTGTGAAGTGAAAAAATTCTTCTTGCATTAGTAGCGTATTGAACGATAGCAACTCGAGCGTAAGATTCACTGACGGAGAAATGGCGGACGAGCTTGAGTAAAACATCTTTCATCGTGTTAAAGTTTTTCCTTCCAATACTTCCAGACGAGTCGACAATAAAAACTATGTCCACAACAGTGGTACAATCTAAGATTATGGAAGAAATAGAATAACTTAGTGGCGTAGCCAGCTTTCCGAATTGTTGTAAGCCTGTTTGCTAAGCAGACCCTGTAGTGCGCTGTACTGGATTTATTTCTTTATTTATTTATGTATTTATTCTCACACAGTCTGACCCTCAAAAATGGAAAATTCTTTGACATTGCAACTGCCAATGTGGTAGCTGTCTTGTACATGGTAGTCGCTGTATGGTTTGACAACATATTCAGAGATCTGGAATGGTGCTAACCTAGTGCTTTAACGTTACGAGATTTACTCTTGCTGCTTTTTTGTTATTTAAGAATTCGAAAGAATTTTGTCAGAAAGTTCGATTTTTGTTTCCATATTTGCAAAAGTCATATCATAAGAGTCAACCGGGTGGAAAAAAATTGCAGGCCTGGGCCTACGAGCCCATGGAATGGCTACACCCCTGAAAGTTCTCTGACTGTAAACCATATTCTGTGATAACCAAGCTCTTGTTGAGATTAATTTACTTTTTAAAAAAGAGTTTGTGAACAAAAGTTCTACAATAAGGATCAATCGACATGCTGGATGACAAAATTATTTGTCTTACACACCAAGCCATGGTTAGAGTCTTGGTCAATCACAACTGATCATTATTCACACTGACCTGGGCAACCTTCATAGTTTTTGCCAAGAGCTGGCATAGCTCTGTCAGGACAACACCCATACGCTGCAGGAAAGTAAATGGGACATTTTGTCATACATGACCGATTGGTTACTGAGCGAGGAAATAATGAATGTTTTCGTATTTCTCCGTCCTTAGAAACTTATTTCAGGCCGAAAACCTCACGCCCATGCATCTTTTTTTCTTCCGCGAAATGGTCTCAGGAAAGGCTTTCCATGTTAAAAATCACTTGAACTAGTGAAAAAAGATGTTCAGGTGTTGTAGGAAAAAAAATGCATCAAATGTTTTAAAAAGTAGATTTACGAAGAAAATACTTCAATACTCCCTTTAGAACTTGGTGATTATTTGGTCAAAACTTGAATTTTGATATTTGATTTAATCGGTGCCTTCAGTTTTGGCTGATTAGTCTTATTTTGTTAAATCTGTTGAGGAGAGATCAGCGATCCCGAGATGACTGAACACAAGCGAATAATGTTTAATATCATCCACAAATTATTGACATACCTCAGGGCAGCACTTGTAGGTGTAGAAATTATCAATGTACTTACCTGATCCACATCTACCCTTGTAAACAAAGTTAGCCCAATAAACACCGGCGCCTCCGGTACACCTCATCGATTTTCCATAACTGTTGTAAGTCTCACAGGCAGTAACGGATCCCCAGCATTCACCGTAAAACTGAACACCAAAGCACAGGAATCCTTTGGCTTGGGCAGCCTGTGCGCATCTCATTATCGGGTCCCTGAAGTTGTTTAATCTCCAGTCGATCCTTCCACGGCTGTTAAAGTACAGTGTCTCTATATCGCGAAGCTTGGGTTTTTTCCAGGCTAACGGACCTTTGTCTTCGTAGCATCCCAAGGGGAAAAACCAAAAAGGTATTTCTGGAGATCATAAACAGAAAGAGATAAAAAGAAGATCAGGAATCGGAAATGTAAAAAAGAAAAAGGAAGAAAATCTAGATAAAAAAAAAAGTTGAGAAAAGGTGGAAAGACGGTGAGGGATATTTGAAAATCAGAATCAAAAAAGAGTGAGATCAAATGAAAGTGAAGGAGGGAAAAAAGAACTGAGGAAGGAAAGAAATAGGGAGACTCCGAGGGTAGAGAAAGATGAACTGATAATCATGTCGAATAAAACAATAGTTTCGTGATTACCACTTGAGCCTAATTGCAATATGGACGAAATATGTGCACGAAGTAGTTAAGAAGTGCAATGAGTAACATGTGCTAAACACACTTGTCAATGGCCGCCTTTGAGGTTGACAAATAAAATCTTGGTAAAAAATACGAAAAACGGGATGAAGTCATTTGTTATGGCAGGCAATCTTACCTTTCTCTGAAAACAGATTCTTAGCTGGCCTGTTTTTTGGGTTATTCTTATTCGTGTTATTTTTATTGCTTCCTCCTTTATTCTTCTTTGTCGGGAGCTCCTCCTGACCCTCTTCCCCTGGCCTGCCTGTTGGGGCGGGTGTGGTCTTGTTCTTGTTCTTGTTTTTGTTTTTATTTTGGTTCTTGCCTTTACTACGCTTTTCTATTTCATCGTACAGCTCTGGGGCCAACCACCTATCTTGAGCGTTATCGTCTGGTTGGTCGTCATCCTCAAGATTTGCTAAATCATCGATTTCCTGATCCTTCTTCGTCGTGCTTACATCAGAAACGCTTTCCTCTCCATTACCAAGCTCGAATATGGTAAGCGAGAGTAACAGCACTGTAAATAAATGGCACTGCATTGTGCCCCTCGCCTAAAAGGAACCATGTCAATCTCGTGAACTTTAAAAACATTTCGAAACAGTTAGGTAAACTTAGAAAAACAAGACGGTAGGTGTGCGTGGCAGACTTATCGCACCATTTATTGACTTATTTCATCCAAGTAATTATCAGATCAGGCGAAACGTAACTAGAAAGTCACTTAGTTCCATGTTTTTTTTTCGAGTTGTTTGTGGTTAGATCAGTGCTCTGGCAGTGATTTATTGCTTGAATTCGCCAGGCAGCACAAGTGATCGAGCGGGAAGTTGCAACTCGGCCTCGGTTTTTACGAAAAATGGTCTTAAATCTAACACTCCTTATGCAAGGGGTAACGTTTCTTTAAATTTCTGCTCGCAAGGTAAACGTATGAAAGATGTTTTTGACGAACAAGAGTCAGTAAAAATTACCTCAAAGATAAATAAAGGCCTTTATACAGGCCCAAGTGGCCCATGGGGCCGGCGCCTAGCTCCGGTTTCCTTTAGCATGAAGCGGCTAGGAGTATTGCTACTCCCCCCTGGATGGGATGCTAGTCCATCGCAGGGTTACCCCCAACATATTTGCTGGTACCCATTTGTACACCTGGGTGAAGAGAAGCACTGTTAGAGTAAAGTGTCTTGCCTAAGAACACAACACAATGACCCCGGCCAGGGCTCGCATCCGGACCACTCGATCCGGAGTCGAGCGTATTAACCACGAGGCCACCGCACCTCCTTCAAAGATAGGGCGTAACATTAAGTACACAGAAGCTTCTATTAAAGAAGTTCGAAATCGAAAATTCGCATCGTTCTACTTTTGATCGATTATTGCTAGTTTTAAGCGCACTTGCCGAATTGATTTTAAACACAAGCATTGGCGACAGTAGTGGCCTGAAACAAAAAGACTTGGAAAAAACCGCAGCCTGCTTCTAAAACGGCATGTTTTGGCCAACAGCAGTTGTTTAGAGAGACCACGTTAGACTAAACTCACAAATCAATGTGAAAAAGTCAATTTAAGAAAAGCAGAAAAAACAAAAAAATAAAACCAGTTCCAACAGACCTTTCCTTCTTTTTTGTTCCAGCTATCAAGGATTCCAGCGAAAAGTGAAAAGCATTTAACTTTATGTACGCAATTTAACAAAAAAAGTATGCTCGTATCCTCGTAACAAAAACCTTCTATTCAGCTATCTTAAAAGCAATCCCTTTGTACTGTTTCTTTCACAATAATAGTAACAATTTTACATCACTCCCTTTTCATCCTAATTAATGAAGTTATTTTATCTTTTAATATGATCGATACCGAAGGTTATTATTTAAGATTGCGATCAATGTTTTCTAAGAGTTGCAGATAACCTAAAAAAAAAGGAAGCATGCAGTATTGCCGACATGCTAAACATGGAAAACCTTGGAAGACAATTTAATATGTACACATCACGACAACTTCTTTCGTTGCTTGTGCAAAGTTTTGGTTACGCAATACGCGAACCGTCATCACTTATGTGTGAAAATCATCAGAGAACTATTACGGAAAAACGATTTTTAAGGTTGCTAATTGATCACCAGCTTATTTTCGGTGCATTATTTTTTTTATCAATTGTCAAAAGTACACTTTATAAATTCAAGTGATGAATCTAGTTTTTTTCCTTACAACCCTCAGTGCCTATGTTTAAAAACAAAAAGATTTTTGACACACTTCAAGGCGAAGAACTTCTAATATAATAAACGTGTGAAAGGAAGTGTGAACATCAACACATATTTGAACAAAAAAATTATCACACTCTTAAGAGATCATCGCTCTCTTTACACCTGTTCTTTTCTATCTACGGGAAATTTTTACCGACTCCGAAGAAGTGCAGTTTTACGTATTCGCTCAAATTTATTTTTTTATTTGCTTGAAATAAGAAATTCGCAAGGAAGCATGATAAGCTAAGTTAAATAGCTTATGAATAAAGGGGGTAAGTTTCTAAAGAAACTGTGATGCTGCGTCCGTGGGAGAGTATAACAGGTCATTTAGTGTTAACAACTGAGTTGAAAACGTAAATTAGCCACCTTAAGGGTAAAAAAGCTTCTTACTTTTACCCTTTACGGTGGCTAAATTACGTTTTCAACTCATTTATTAACAGTAAATTATAAGTTAAATAGCTTTCCCTTGAGCTCAGATGAATTGCTCAAGATCTGAGTTTATTGGCCTAAAAGTGCAGAATGTTTGAACAACCATTTACCTAACACTTTAACAAACAAGAATGATGACAGAGGACCATTCAAGCACTGAGTGTGGAATAAAAAGTTAACTGGCGGACTAAAATGCAGATACTGATGGAAGAAACTTTGATGAGGGGTCTGGGGCTTGTTTCTGACAAACCGTCCTTTTATGGTTTTGGTGACATTAATGTGGGGGAAGTTAAAGACTTCAAGCCCTTTTAGCTGTGCTGCACTTTCAATGACACTACATAAGGTTAAAATTAACCCCCGAACCCTAAGAGTTGCTAGCTTCTAATTTTCCCTTACAACATCATCTCAAATCACACATTAGGGTCACGGTATGGGGCGCCAAACCAGTCAATATTCCCTCTGTATTTCTATGACCCTGTTTACTTTTTATATGGTCAATTCGACTTTTTATACGGTCAACTTTTTACTTTTTATATGATCAACTCAACTTTTTATATGGTCAGTGTGAAAATGCAGACTGAAAACTGCAGATCAGGGGTAAAATGCAGACTCGGTTCTTGAAGAATAAACCGTTTATGACCGCGGTATCGACCTAATCGTGAGGCGCAAGAGCGAAGTGTTAAACGTCTTGAAGCTTCTAATACAGAGCACCGATTCCAAGATCACGCCTACCTTCGCAGCGCAAACTGAACAACGGTACGAGAAATAGGTTTTTACTGTCCAAGTAATCGAAGTTGCCGATGTGTGATGAAAGTCTATCGCTACATCTTTAAAGGCCGAACGAAGTATACGTGAGCTTCATGCATGTTAAAGCCAATGATGCTCAGCAGAACTGTTTTTTCCTTAACAAGGGAAATTTATTTAGCTAGCTGTGAACTGCATATTCAAACAGTTTCATTGCTAATCGTTCTTACCTTAAAATAAATATGTCAACGCCAAAACTATCTGAGGAAGTGAAGTCCGAAACATCAATCGCTATGACGATTATTGCCAACCTCTCACAACTTACGCGACCTCAATACTTGCACACTCTTAGAGTTTTTCCGGGGAAGCGGGTTTGTTTTAGAACCTCAGTCTGCATTTTAACCTCAGTCCGTACTTTACCCCCGGTCTGCAGTCTACAGTTTGTGTTTTACAATGACCGATATAAAAAGTAAAAAGTTGACTATATAAAAAGTTGAGTTAGCCATATAAAAAGTAAAAATTTATCTAATCAAAAGTAAAAAGTTGACCACATAAAACTCGAGTTGACCATATAAAAAGTAAAAAGTTGACCGTATAAAAAGTCGAACTGACCATATAAAAAATAAATTGGGTCACAGAAATACAGAGGGAATATCGACTGGTTTGGAACCCCATAGTCACGAGAATAAGGTAATTATCATCTACTAGAGAAGCCCTTGATTGTCCTACAAATTCTCCTTGTCATGTGTAGAAAACAGTGTGGAAAATGAGTGTACTGATGTAAGGGTGTAAGAGTGAGTCCAAGCTGCGGCACATGACCTTATCTCACTGTAAAACCATGCAAAGAATGTTCTTATTAAATAATTCAAGATGGGAATGCACACAAGCAGATCACTATTCACTAATGTACAAAACTGTCTAAAATGTATTGCTCCTGGTGCAGCTGAACAAATTTTATGCAATGTGACAGACTGCTGATTGTAAATAAGACTTGTGCAGGCACACGATTATGAGGGCCACTCCAAGAGTATTCAGGAATTTTCCAGGTTGCAATGGTAACTTGCAAACAGCCAGGCTGTTTACAAATTATCAATACAGAGGACTATTCAAGCACTGACTGTAAAATTAATAGGTAACTTGTGTACTAAAGGCAGATACTGATGGCAGAAGCTTTGATAATGGTCTAGGGCTTGTTTCTCACAAATGGTTTTTAAAGACTTTGGTGACATTAGTGGGGGGGGGGGGGAAAGTTGGAGGTGATGGCTTCAAGCCCTTTTGGCTGTGCTGCACTTTCAATGACACTACACAAGGTTAAAATTAATGCCCCAAACCCTAAGAGTGGCTAGCTAATTTTCACTTACAACATCACCTCAAATCACACATTAGGGTCATGAGAATAAGGAAATTATCACCAACTAAAGAAGCCCTTGATTGTCCTACAAATTCTCCTTGTCATGTATAGAAAACAGTATGGAGAATAACAATACTGATGTTACTGAAAAACCATGCAAAGGATGTTCTTATTAAATTAGTCTACATAAACAGCCAGGAGGCACAGAAAATTAATTATGTTAGAGCCTGAATTTTTTCCAGGCTTCTTTTTCAGTAAGTGAGGACCACTGCATCATCTGTTAGCATCAGCATTTCAATCAATTGTACATATTTAAGACAAGATTTGGCACAAACTTTGAACTCCCTCTTTGCCTCCCTCCTTGCCACCTACCCAACATGCCTTCCATAGCTTGATTGCTGGTAGTATGAAGCTGGTATCTGGGAGGCATGCTTTCAAACCTTAAATTTCCCCAAGCTAGTTTTTCTCTGAATATTAATTATTATTTTGATATCAGTTCACCTGTGAGAATCATATGCATAATGTTATTTGTTTGACACATACCTTTCACACGTGAACTGTCATCTGCATGGCCAGATTTTGTAAAAAAATTCTACAGACTAGCTGCTCTTTTATCAACAGCATTTCACTAGCCACCAGAGGCATTATTTTAAATCATCAACATTATTTAAGTTCACAAGTTTACTTATCAAATACAAGAATTGAGGAAACTCTTATCAAATATGTGACAAGGAAATACGGGAGTATTCTTTTCACCAATGGAATTACCATCAAACACACAAAAAATTGGGCACCTTTCATTTGTTAATAATTATTACTGACAAAAATTTCAAAAATGCCCAGTTGCTACTCAGCTTTTAAGGATGATTAGGGCCTCAAAGCTGTCCTCTTCACATTTCTGTTCCCTAGGTGTAACATGTTTCGTGAAAGAACCCCATACAACTGAACCCTTTAACTCCCAGAAGTGATTGAGGGGTATCTGCTTCATATAATATCCATACACTATCGCACAAACAGGTAATGAGAATAATTAAACTTATCACATAGAAGTTTTTCTTCTTATTCTAATACCATATTCTTTTAACTTATTTTAAAGGAAATGTGTGACAGCTAGAGGGGAGAATTGACAACCAGATCTTGGGAGTTAAAGGTTAACCAATATTCTAGTCTCTCGTCACCATTTCCCTTCTTTAGACTTTTGCGAAATTCTAGGTAATTAGGAAAAGCTGCTCAAAAGTAGGTTGCATACTCATAATCTTCACCAATTTTCCACTTGATCGGACCTTGCAGGATTAAACGTCTACTTGTAAATTACATATGTCTTAATGGTTGCCCATGGTTGCATCATCCAGCTCACCGCATTACACGCTTCAAAACGAAACTGTTTCCTTGTCCAAAAATTGAATCCTTGATCACAGCTGATAGCATTAGAATTTCTTCATATCATATGTTGAATCCCATCTGTCTCATGCATTCTTTATGTGCCTCGATAAGTTCGCCACAATTTTCTTCACCGTTTTCCACGATGCAAGCATCACGTGCCTTCTTCGTTTCTGGACAAGCACAGCACGGTCTTAGCTTTTTCTTCTCGCCTTCTTGTGGCTTTTCTTCGAACTGTGTATTACCTGTAGTGATGGGTGCTTCTCCTGACATCGTGCTTTAAATATTTCACAAAATACGATAACGAAACACGGCTACCTCTGTTCAAAGCTTCTGTTAAGAGGGTAACATATTATGTAAGACATTTCAGTCATTACCAGGCCCTTGGCCAATTTTGAAACGAGGCCCAAAGATGTTGCAGGAAACAGCTGTCACGCATGCTCACACATTCTCGGATTTTAATTCAAGATGGCGGATGGCTCGGTCTGTGTTTTCCTGCAGCCATATATAACGTGACCTTGAAGGAGCAGGTATATTTTATTGCGATGGGGACAGAGCCAACGGTATCTAGCTCTCATGTTGAACACCTCTTAGCGGAGATTGAATCGAGTGACGGACTTCTTGGACCGACCTTAAGGTGAATCGATATTAATCAAAAATTATTCAGCAGCGATACCTCCTTCCTTCGCCTCAAATTTTGACAGGAGGTGAAGGAAGTGCCGTCTCCAATGATTTTGTATAACTGAACTCTCATTTTGGTGACTAATTTAGAGCCGTCTACGATGGAGAAGAACACACTGAGTTTATGGATAAACTGGAGGATCGCATACGAGTTCACGATAAGGACATCGAGCGGATGTGTAACTATCACTACCAAGGTTTCATCGAATCTGTTAACGAATTGCTCAAAGTTCGCGGAGAAGCACGGAAACTCAAGGTATTTGAATGTACTTATGTCAAAGGAGTGGTGTGTTTAGAATATTGTGATGTTATTTGATTGGCTTAATATTAGATATGGTTTATACTTTCGATTCTTATTGATTCGTGAGATGTACATTCATTTCATGGAATTATTATTTCCTTATCAAGCCATCACTTTTGCACGACTTTGATCGTTTCTTAGCAGAGGCTTGCGATGGGTTTTTTAAATTTGAATCTAAGTGTTTGGGCCTTAAAGTGCGGTAGGATTCGCAAATAATACAGATCTGAGAATTTTTATGCAGTTTTTTAGAATTACTTTAAGAATGTCAGCTCATTCCTTCACTGGGGGTAGGTGACAGTTGCGAGTCATGGTAAAATTATTTAGTTGATTTGTTCTGTCCGAAAAAGGCCACTGTTCTCCAGCAAAAAAATTTTTTAAGGTGTATTTTCATACTAGTTATATATTATCTCTCTGTCATAATAAAAAATTATACCTGTCTCTATTTGTTTATTAGATCAAGATAAAGGAAGTGAATGAATCCATGCAAGAATCAGGACGTGAGGTCTGTAAATATGTGCATAGAAATTCAATTTTACTCCCTATTTTTATTGGGGGACGGGGGAAATTTTAGGACAACTAAAAGAAAAAAAAGGCAAAGAAATGAACATTTGGGGTTTTACTGTTTTTAGTGCACTTGAGCATTTTGTCAACATTTGTTAGAAATAAAAGATTCTCTCTTGACTGATAATTGGAAAGTTTTAAAACTAAATAAACTGGATTCAGAAAGTTTACTCTAGAGAATCAAAATGTTATGTTGTATTTTTCAATGGATTTGTTAAGAAGGCACATCATGTTATTATCAAATGTGTATGAGATTTGTAATCATCTGACGACCCTTAAGGGCAGGAAACAAAAACAATCAGCCACCCAGCATCTAATTAATCTCAGCTTGTGTGATTTGATTTATCTTTACCTTCTCACATTATCACCTCTGAAAATTGTCAGCAAAAAAAGTGGTGAGGAGTCATTCATTTTAACAGATAAATTTGTTGGTAGACAAGGGAGGCACAATCAGTTTGAAGCAGATAACCTCCTCCACCTTACCCTTTGTCTAGCCATCACATTAATAAACAGAGATGATGATTTTTGACTGTTGTTCTATTAAAAATAACTTAATGTGCAATATTACACTTATCATAGTTTTCTTTAATTTTGAAGGGATGGTTATTATAGACATTCTTGTGAAAAAACGATTATAATCAAATAAAAGTGGTGTCTATGATTCTGTTTGAAAAAAATTTAACCTTGGTTTTTCTTCTTGTATTTGGTGCATGTAGCTCTTTAGCAAGTGTGAAAACCTGATATACTGCCGCACAACCCAGAGAAATATTGTATCTGCAATCGAGATTCTTAGCCTCTGTTTACCAGGTAAATGATTATGAAAAATGTTGTATCCAGCTCTACAGTCTGTTAACTTGTGTCCAAATGCTATGATAACTTACCCATCTGTGAAATAGTACCTCTCTTGTTGATTGATACTGACTCTGTATGGGTTTAATGAAGTAATAGAGACCGTTTGGTAGATTATTAGATCAGTTTCTGATTATTATTTGTTTGTTATAGTATTTTTCCCAATATGTTTCAAAAATGGGTGAAGGGACTATTTTGTCTTAATTAAGTTCTGAAAAAAAAATGCCCTATTGCAGTGCTTGAGATGTACGCTAAACTTAAAGATCAGATGCATAACAGAAGGTCAGTTCTTTCTTCTCTATTATTTCTTTCACATTCTTGAAAAGTAGAAGTTACATTGTGTACTTCTTGATTAATATTTGGAGTATCCGTATCTCATAACTATGTTGTACTGCAACTATTGTTTACTAATAGGTATTACCCAGCATTAAAAACATTGGAGCAGCTTGAACACACCTATCTTCCAAGGATAAAAAGGTATATTAAACTTCTAGGGTGAGGATCTTGCAAGCCCTGACTGGTTATGTACACTGTTAGTGAATGTTGTACCTGGATCTAGTATATTGTACTAGCATTTTACCTAACCTTCAATCTTTTAACTTGATTTGAATGGCTAGTATAAGTTAACTCTCTTTTGTCAAAGTTTATATCTTATCTTTAATCTTGAAATACTTTGCCTTTGACTGGCAGATTTAGATTTGCAGAGATCATGCAAGAAAGTATACCTGTTGTTAGAAAACACATCAAAGAAGCTTCAATGGGTGACCTGAGGGTGAGGAATATACTCCAAAAAAACTCAGTGATAGACTACATACTTGGTTAATCAGTTGAGAAAAGATGGGTACATATTAAAGAAACTGCAATTCAACAATGACTTAGGGTCAAGTGAAGTGGACTCTAGATCTCAAGGTCTTGATTCAAGCTATAGCCACGTTCATCATGTTGTGACAGATAACCTTATTCTCACAGTGATCCTCATAATAGTTTAAATGATTATCAGAGGAATGTCAGGGAAACCTGATAAAATGTTTTCGATTAACCCTTAGTATGCCATATCACTTCAAACTTTAGGAGCTGGTGTAGACTTAAGCAGCAATCTGGCTTGTAAATTTGTCTTAGTTAAGAGTACTCAGTCAGACTGAGTACTCTTAACTATTTGTTATTGATTTGATTAATTCATGCTGTCTATTTGTTCCTTTGAGATGAATTGACTTTTACTTATTTTGTCCTGTAGGATTTTCTGGAGAAAATTAGGAAGGTTTCTGTCCGGTTGGGCTTAATAGCAATGAAACAGGTTAGTTCCTGAGTATTTTAGGCTACCAGTATATACAGTAGCTCTTACTATATTACATGTATCTACCTGATCATTACTAGTTGCTAACTCTGTTTAGCTTAATGATAACTTAAATACCACAGAAATAGTAAAAACACAAAAACCTAGTTAATTCCTAAAAATGAACTAGTTCTGTATTCCTGTTTTTATTTGGGTAGATAATTTGGTTTTCCTTTCTGGTATAGAAAATCATTGGAATTTGGGAACATGTTTTGGTGAATCTGCAGAAACAGTTGTACTGTAATAATTTTAATTAAGATCAATCTATTTTGTATATGTTTAGGCAATACAAAAGAATAACTTAACACTTATGCCAGGAGTTGGTTTGAAGAAGAAAGGAGAAGACGAAGTAAGTTTGCACAGTGTCTACAATAGCAGAGTTGCTGTCATAAGAATGTCATTAGAATAATTTAAAATTGGGAAATGTAGACTTAAAACCAAATGAAAGTAAATTTGGAGAGATTACATTGTGAGTGCACTCTGTTGTAAAGCAAAGTTCACTGGTTTTATGGTATGATAACCCATGCAGGATGTCAAGTTTGTTAATAAGAGGTAATTTAGTGTTAAGAACTGAGTTGAAAATGTAAATTGGCCATCCTAAAGGGTGAAAAAGCTGACATTTCGAGCATTAACCCTTTGTCAGAGCAATTGGAGGAATTATGGGTTATGTGGTTTTATATGCAGAAAGTGGAGCTGCACTATTAGTGGGAGTATGGTGACGAGAAAACATGAATAAATTAGGTGAATGAAGAACCCTCGTTGATGGCGCTTTCATTTTGAGCAGATACTAGTGCAGAGAGGGAGCAAAAAGTTTTCTTTGTTAAATATGATTTATTTTCTCTTTACAGGAATTAGACAAATCTGCTCAAGATTTGGTGGACTTTTCCCCAGTGTACAAGTGCTTGTACATTTTCACTGTTGTAGTGAGTGATTTATGCATGATATCCTTCAATCCGTTCAGTTCTTTGAACATGGAAGAAATAATTGAAAAGCAATTAAATGCATACTTATTCTTCTTATAGGGAGAAAGAGAGACATTTGATAATTACTACAGGAAACAGAGAAGAAAACAAGCTCGTCTTGCTCTGGAACTAAGCTCTGGAAGTAGAGTAAGTTTTTAGAGATAATTTGATATGTATGATATAGAGAGCCTTAATACTTTAAGCCTCATATTTCTGTACTGTCAAAAGGGATCATGTATATTCAAGACTTAGTAAGTAAGCTGCAAAAAATTAAAACTTAATTACAATTATTGTAAAGTACTATTGGATATCTTGTAGAAACGAAGCTATATAAATCATTCATATTGTTATATTGTTATTATATAAATTCACAGCATGTTAATTATCCACCATAGGATCTGTGCCAAGTTCAGAATGAGTTTTAAAGTCCTTTATTTTTTTGCTAACAGGATGGAAACCTGGAAGTGTATAGATCTTATTTTCATCAAATTGTAGGGTGAGTCAATCAGGGCTGAAACCAAAATCCAACTCAACTCTTGCTATAATAACCTTAGCACTGCTCCTAGAGGTATCTTAAATTTGATTCACAGAAAAGTTAGGCAAGCATCGCCCCTCTCTCTAAATTTTACCTTTCAGTGTCATTAGAAACCTTCCATACACTGTATGTCTCAATAGGTCATACTAATGTTAGGATGAATGTGGCAGTTGTGGTTCTTTATTGCTCTTTGATACCTCCCTAAATGGAAATAATTGTTGATTCCCTCACCTTAAGGTTCTTTGTGGTTGAGGATATAATTCTACACACAACCAAGGGCCTTGTAACAAGGTATTGCACACTGTTTAATAATTTACTATAAGTACATTTCAAGTTGGAAAAAGTGACAGTAGCTACCATCAGATAACTTAATGTCAATTTCATGAAAATGAAGAATTAGTTGATAACTATTTCTTGGAAATAAAATGTACTGTACGTGTATGTGTGACTTCACTTGTAAGTTTTTTTTACTTAGGCCCTGTTCGCACCTTGCTGAAAAATTTGGTTTGCTATTTGCAAAAAAATTTAAAATTTTGTAACAACAATTTTTTTGTTTTCATAATAGCGTTCACACTTGAGACGTGCGAATTATTTGTGTAACCACAAATGTCAATCAATCAGAATAGTTACTGAGATTTCATGACAGTGCTTTTCCTTTTAAGTTGTTTCCAGTCAAAGACTGATTGCAAAGCAAAATACCCCCGCAATATGTTTTAATGGCCCTTCTTTGCTGTTTGCTTGCCATACAAAACCTGATTTTGGTTAATCAATAATTAACTCTGGTTTTGTTGGGAAGGATTTGGCTTTTATGGATCGCAGAGATGTTAACTCAGCTGCTCAACAGACATCGATGCTGCCATTGTTTTCACCTGTACTAGACATTTCCTTGACCTGTAGAATCCGGGTTTGAAATCCACATGCACCAGCATAACCTCCCTGGAGCCTTCTTCTGTAAACATTTGAAAATGGGGAGAGAGTTATTGGACAACTTACTAATACTCTTAAGAGGCTATGTTCAGAGAGAAAACACTTGTACATAATACCAGTTAGCCTGGTATCAATTATGAAATGTGATGACCAGTTGAAGGGTATCTGGGAAGGAACAATAAATTTTCTCATGTGACAAAAAATTGTAGGCCTCCAAAGCTAGTTGATGGTATCTTTGAAGTTTTTTGGCACTTGTGAAAATTTTGGTGGGTCAAACAAATCGTTTGCATTAAAAATGGTTTCGTGTTGACAGATTTTTTTGCAAAACAAACAATTTTGTGTAGTGCGAACTGGCCCTTATTACAAGTTTTTTTTTCTTTACAATGTTGGCCAGTTAATGAAGACTGTGAGGCTTGTACAACTTAGTGTGGTCAGGGAGGAAGTGGTTTGATTATTAAAGCTAGTTGATTGTAATATGAAGCTTCAAAAAAGGTTTTTGTAAAAAATAGTTATGTGATTTGTTAAAATAATGTACAGTACATTATTATAAGCGAAAATCAAATAGCTTACAAGAGCAGCAGTAGGCCCAAGCAGTGGCGGAGTTTTCAAGTTGTTTATGAAACATGTTGATATAATTATATACTTTAAACAACAGGTCAACGGTTGATGATCTTTGGGAAATGGCAGCAAACAAGATTGCACCTGTGCTCATCACATGTACACAATCGGTAAGAAGAATAAGTATATGGTTTAAAAGAAACCCTACATGTATATGACAGTCTTTATACTGTAAGTCAGGGTATCAAAAAAAATCTGTGAGCACTTCTTTCTAAGTATTTATTAAAAGGCATAAGTTAGGGTACATTGCAACCTTTGCTTTACCAGGAAGATAAAGGACAAATAAAGCATATGACTACATTCTCCATTTCTTTTTCATGATGGTTTACATATTAACTGACATCTCACTGCTGTTTTTTTAGGCCTACTGTGAAGAACCATCTCTGCTTTTAAAAGTGAAAGAACTCATTGTGTGGTTCTGTCACACCCTGTCAGTATGTATAATTCATACCTCTTGTGCATGTTTAATGACAAATTTTGGATGTCTTTATCTTCAAATTTACATTTCTGTTTTTGCTTCTTTTTTTTTGTTTCAGGGTTTTGGATTTAATGTAAATAAAATTTTTGATGTTCTTCTAGAAATGAGGTAAGGTTGGAATCCTAATTATAACTAGTAACAAGAACTACCAGCATTGTAATAATTTTTGAGATCTTGTCAATAAGGTCTCTATCATTTCACTGCAATTGAACAATTCTTTAAACTGTTCAGGACAGTCCTTGATTAATTACAGAGTTTCACCATCTGTAGCCAAAATAGGTAGCAAGTAATTTCTGTCTGGTGTAATTTATTAGAATTTCTCTTTTAGTATTTTTTACTATTCTTTGCACATGTATGTGTAACTTTTAACCTTCTTCTTGTACCTTTTTCTAGACTTCAGTACAATGAAATTTTATCAAAGGATTGGGAAGCTATTTTCAAGTATGTAATGGTGCTATTATCCTAATTGCTGATATGTAAAAAAAGTTGTCTGGATATAGACTGTACTATTAAATGAAATGTAATTGTAAATTCAGAGCAAAGCTGCAGTTATAACACAATTTTATATATGTGTACATTATATGTGAGAGTGTCTCATGTTTTTTTGAGCAAAATGGATTATTAAAGGCTTTTAGTACAAACTCTCTTTTCTCCTCAAAGGAAAATTTTTGATGAAGATAACTATACACCAATGCTTTGCCAAGATGAGACTGAGTACAATGACATCCTGAAGGAATTTCCTTTTGATGAGACAGAGGTTCTACAGGTATTAATGAGGCTTAGTTAGAGTTTTTAAAAAGGGAGTTAGAGGGTCCATTGTCATTGTCGCCATCATCATCATCATCATCTAGCGGCATCTTTTGGAAGGTCATCTGTAGTGATTCTTCTTTCAAGGGGTTTCCATGAGATTGTTCCTATGGATCTTTATGTCATCATCCATCTAAAATGTCTTTTAAGATACCAGATTAACCAACTATGTGACCATAATATTTTTGTGTGCCTTGTTTTTATTATTTTTGTCATGGTTTCCTCCATGATAGTCTGCAGCACACTTCTTTGGTGATAATTCACATCATAGAATGATTTGAGGGTGTGAAAGCATGCTGAGTTGCTTGAACTCAAGTAACAGCAACCTCATTTGCACAAGCCAATATCATAGATAAGACACCAGAATTGAAAATTGAATGCCACTGTTGTCATTGCAACATCTTTCGATTACATATTCCTATTAGAGGTAAACATTACAGTTTACAAGCTATGTGTAGTTTCTGGCTTTTTAAAATTTTTTTGCCAGCAGTGCAACAGTATCCATCTAATGTGATGATCTCTGAACATTGTTTTATTTTTTTCCCTAGCATCCTTTCCCAAGGCAGCTTCCATTTTCTGAGGGTGTTGTTAAAATCTATCAAGAGGTACTTTGTAAACTGCTAGTTAAGTGCTCTAATAATTATAGCCTGCCTGTGTTTCCAATAAATATTAAATAACCTCTTGTTCTACTTTGCAGGTCAAACACTACATAAGGTCATGTTTAAAATTCAATGAAAACCTGAATGTCAGGTAATATGTGTATTCTAACACTACCTAGTACCTTATTCACCATAGTTGATCGCCATGGGCATTTCTATGAAAGTTAATGATCTTTCTACTGTCAGTGTACTTATTTTCTGAGGTTTTCACAAGATACACACTTGTCTTCTGATAATATTTTATGAAAGTGTCTTTGGTCAATAAATGGTTACAGTAATGCCATTTACATGTACCTTTCTAATGGGTGATCTGCTGATAATTTCAGTTTGTAGAAAGGAGTCAGGCTTATTTCTATAGGCAATTTACATGCACTTTTGCTGTTGCAATAAGCTTTCCCTCATAAACTTGTTATCCTAAACTACATAATTATGTCATTCTGAGATTCCTTCTGGTTCACAGCATCTTTTGGTATAGTTTGGTGGTAAAAAAATTTCATGGTACATTTCTCATAACATTGTAATAGCAGAGTCAGTGGTGATTACAACTGAAATTTGTTAGGTTTATTCTAACACATTTATTGTGTAAGTTAAGGAATATTTAGGTGTGTAAACAATTATTTGCTACACCTACAACTGTATCCATTTTGTGAAGGCATGTAACCTTCCATGTAGTTACGGTAACTTCATAGGCATGTTCTTCATTCTCTCTCTCTCTCTAGTCAAACTGAGATTGGAGATTCGGTGCGAAAGTCAACAAATTTACTACTAACAAGGACACTCAATGGTGAGTTTGGCTAAAGGATGAGTCTAGTTTTGAAAAACAAGAAATTTTAAAGTGATCTGTTTAATTTTTTAACATAATATCATCATTATTTTTTCTTAGGTTGCATAACATCTATTATTAGAAGGCCAACAATGTCAATTCCACAGGTGTGTCTGCCTCTAAGTCAAGCATTCAATCAATGGCTTAAGATAGATTATTTTAAACACATATTAAATATATTGTAGTATGAAATTGAATGAATGACCAAATGGAGAGATGAATGAATGAGCAACGAGATGAATGAATAAATGAAAAAATGACAAGATGAATGAATAGCATGGTGGTACTCAGTTGTTTGTGAAGGTTATTTGCTAGTACACTCCATTTTCGCGAAGTTCAGGGTAGGTTAAATGATACTAAATTTATGTCATTTGTTTTGTCTTAACAGCTTGTTCAAATGTCCATTAACACAATTCATTTAGAAGAGGCCTGCAATCATCTTGAAGAGTATGTGACTGCAGTGACTGGGTAAGTAGATGTTGAATTGGTCTCTTTTAAATTTTTTTTCTAATTAAAATTTTCGTATAGTTTATTCTTGGCCTTTATATTAGGTTAACATTTTGTGTATTTTGCATCAAAAAAATAGATCTGAAAAAAAAATTAAGGGTATGTCCCACGATCTCAGAAGTTACTGTGACTAAGTGGAGTAGACAACATTCCAAATAATCGTGTTTAACTTTGCTCGTGTTGAATCGTAGAACCTCCAGTGAAAGAATTAATGTTTCACGAGTTTATGGGTTGTCATCGTTCAAAGTAAGTAGAAAATTTTACAGCTCTTAAATTGCTCCAGGTTGCCATCTCCTCATTTATATGTACGCTTGGCTTTATCTGTATGTTTTCACCTCCCGAGTTTGTGGATGGGTGTGTATTGAGGGTTTAAAGATGGACGTACAGTATATTGTGTGCGGTGGCATAGATAGTATTATGGTGTATGGTGCGATTTGTTTTGAATGTATCGTAGATAACGGTTTTTGTTTTTGCTTCGTTGATGATTTTGTATGTAGGGAAAACGTGGTTTTATTCCAGTAACATAAGCTGTTTGATGTGGTAACGTATAAGATACAATATACATGTCTTATCTCACCAGGATATGAGAGCTGAGGCAGAACAACAAGTTTACGAAAGACTCAATATGAAAATAGAGGACTTTGTAGAGTTAGGTATGTAAATACATATTTATGTCAAAATGGGGTGTATACAATGCATATCCTAGTTATAGGCAAGTTGATCGGTGAGAAAGTCGACTTTTGAGCGAGTTAACTTGGAAGTGAGCTGACTTTTAGGCTAGTTGTCTTGTGGGAGAGCTGACTCTTGGTGGGGTTTATTTAAAGGCGATGTTGACTTGTGGACGACTTGCTACTTGGGCGAGTCGAATCGTGTTTGAGGAGACTTGTAGACAAGTTGATACGTTGGTGAGTTGTTGGAGTCGATTGGAACTTAAGAACACTAAGAAACAACAACACTATTAACCCAAAACTCGATTATGGCCACCTTACTTTGGTTCTAAATATCCCTGCTTCTTGTCATCAGTTTAAACCCCAAAATGATTATTTTACAAAAACAGATTTAACCTGGTAATTGTTAATAAGAAGGCCCCCTAAATTAAAAATTTGCAGAAGAAACTATTATTAAATTCTGAGTAACGCAATAAGTTTTTGTTGCAATAATTTGTCGTAGGTTTTATAGCTTTATACTTCCTTTATCCAAATCTTTCTAGGGAAGGCTTTCCATCCGTTTGTTTAATCTCTTATCGCACTCAAGGTGCTCTTTTACGTGACTGTTTATTTTATAACCATCTTCATATAAGTCATTACTAACCATGATGGAGAGCTAGCATCAGCATCGGCAACGAAAACGTTGTTATTTCTGTTGTGTTCTATGGATATCTGCATTCTTCTTGCCATTCTGTGAAATCCAAATGGAATAAGAAACTCAAACTTTTTGGTGGAAAATTGGAATATGAATTTAACTGAGCTATGCTATTTTCCCCTCGTTTAATCCGTGTTTTTTAGAATTTCCATCCTAAAATAATCTAAAATATATGTTGTTGGAGGAGTGAAACCCATTTAAAAGTTTTTTTTGGTTTTCAGCAAATTACAATTGGGTTCCTGTGAACTCCAGATTACATGCCAGTAGCTATCTTGTGGATCTATTGGACTATCTTCACACCACTTTTCTAAACTTCACAACACTACCGGTAAGTCTTTCACACTTATTTTACAGCTTCTTGTTCTATTTTGACTGTTTCTCTGTCACTTAACTGTTTTAGCTCTGCCTGTCCGTTCAAAGCAGGTTCAATTAGGTTTATTTCTTGATATTTTCTCAGGGGAATGTGGCCCAGACGGCCTGCATGTCTTCATGTAAATATCTCGCTACGAAGCTCAGAGAGATGTTACTAGATGAAGAGGTACGATTACACAAAAGCCATGTTTGCAACATGTTGAACGATTGGCTAATTACTCGTGCATTGAACTGTCATAACTGGTCTTTATTGGTAGAAACAGGAGGAGGCTGTAACTCAAACTTTCAACTGTCCTATCATGGATAGAGACAGAAAGCTGATATCGCATTACGTAACCCCTAAAATTCATTAGAAGAAATTCTTCATAACGCTCAATATTCTGTTCTCAAGGTCTTAAATGAAATACTCTTCTTGCGACTCACTCTCGTTTCCTATTTACAATATATAAATGTATTGATGTGGTTAAAAGTTCTCCACTCACTGCGATTGTTTTCTACTATTTGCCTCCTTTTACCAGGTTAAGCAGATGAACTCGCACGGTTTGGACGGGTTTAACCAAGATCTTAGAAAGTGTGAAGGTAGTTTCAGTTTGATCCCATTTCTTTGTCTTTTAGTGAAGTTACGTTTTAAAATATGGCAGCGACTCGCAACCTTGTAGTTAACGCATGGAATTTGTGCTGGGCAGAACAGGACATGTAACCAATCACAACAAAGATGCTATTAAATCAACCAATCAAGAGCGAGCCGGTGAACTAGTCTTGCTTTGATTCACTAATTTTCCCGCCATTTTGGCACCGTGTGGTTTTTCTTCAAGCTACACTTGCTTTACCATGAATTTTGTATAATGTTTGTCTGGGGTTCAGAGAGCTTATCTCTAAAATCAATTGTCTCTTAAATAACGTTTGGAAATGTGTTATGTTCCGAAAAAAACTGAACCGATTTTTACTATTGCGAATTATTTCAGTAAGGGACGATTTTTGGTGTAGTCTTATTTAAAAGAGATGTGGATGCTTGCTTCGAAAGAGGGTGATGCCGCTGGATTTGAAAAGGCAATAAATCTCTACAATATAGCAAACCTGTTTAATTTCTTTCAGAGTTTGTCAACTCCAATCCAGTAGAGGGGATAAGTGACGGCACACTACAAATGACATTTCTGGAATTAAGACAGGTAAGATTACTGTTAGTCTCCTTCAAAGCAGTTGTTTGGTCTCTTCATGCAACGTGCTGTCCCCCCTCCCCCCCACACACACCAACAGGAGAGAGTGCGAGAGACCAAAGACCAAAGACGAGACCAAAACATCTGCTGCGAAGGAGACTAGATTATTGTGAGCTGTTCGTGTTCTGCTCCCGGTTTCCTTTCTACCTCCATTGTTTTATGCTTCTTACTGTTTGAACTTTTACATGTTTGTCAGTTGGTAGATTTGTTGTTGAATGCGGACTGGTCCACCTACTTCGCTGAACATGGTTACACAACTAGTAAATACAGTCGAGTTAGCCCCCAAGATGTAGCAAGAATCCTTGAGAAGTAAGTGCCTTTTAAATACCAAAATGGCACCAGTCGAAACTGAAAGGGGGAAAATTTTTTCAGAAGCTAAACATGACGTTTTGGCGAACAGCATAATTGAGCTACCGTCGGCGGCCTTGGTAGCCGTTTTTGCACTTACGTTGATAATTTAACTTGAAAAAATAATTTTTCCTTATTTTGTTCAGCGTTCGGATTTAAATGAGTTTAATCAGTGTCTAATTTTCCCGCTTTCTGTTTCCGTAACTTATCTGTAAGTTGTCCCTTCTTATTCACACTGTTGATCATGAAGCTAAGCTTTGCTTGGGAAAGCATTACAACTTACTAAGGATGTGGGTATGGATGCCGTGAAAAGAGATTGTCTTCGAACAATTGCATTAAAGGAAAGTTTTTCGAACGAACTACGCGAACGTGGCTTAATAATAATAATAATAATAATAATAATGATGATGATGATGATGATAATAAATCGAAATCTTTATCAAGGATAACCCTTCAATACAAAAGTACTTTTATCAATGGGGTCCTGCTGATTAAGAATTAAAAACTAGGAAATAAGAAATTATTAAGATATATATAAGATAGTACCTATAAAACAACTGGAACTAAAGTAGTGAAAGGTAGCTCGTATAGAAAACTGTTAATTGAACATTCTGATTTGAGAAATCAATGTTTGTTTTAGGATGACGGACACAGGAAAGAAGCGAATTTTAACTTTAAAGAAAGTCGACCGAGACCGCAAAAAACTCAACGAAACGATCTTGAAACGACTGAAGACTTTGGATGCGGATACTTCGGGAGCTTCTGTAATGTCTTGAATTCTTCTACCAACTGTGGAGGTCTCAAGATCTTCAGCACAACAAGATTAACCCACTAGGGAGCTAACCATGATTTGCAGATTTACCAGTAATATGAGATCATTCTATGTCAGGAGGTAGGACACTGAAGGAACAAGGCTTTCTCTTCTGGTACCTTGATGGCTTAAGTAACCATGCTTTTGCATAGAAAGACATCGTGAAAGTTGAGTAAAGGGGACAAGCATGACCGTAAATAACTACAATCGTATTACTCTCTGCTTTAGATATAAAACGACCTAATAAGTAATGAAGCGCATAACTTGAAAGTCAGACTAATAAAGATCACTATTGTACCATCCGCATTACGCCTGGTAAATTTGAAAAAAAAGTTTTTCAAAAAGACCTGGAAATCAGAGAAAGTTTTTCCGTTCACACTGCAGTGATCAGTAGTAGAAAAGCTTGACTGCAACCTTGGGCATTCGTGCAAGAAAGGTCGTCAGAATGTGTGCAACTGCGCACCTACTCCCCCTTGTTATTAGCTGACTGTTGCTAGTTTAGGGGAGGGGTAGGTGCACGGTTGCTCAGATATTTACATCGATCCGATAGGTCTAACCATACTGAAAAAAAAAAAAAATAAATAAATTGAAAGTGCAGTAAAAAATCCACACTAGGACTTAAAGAACGTATTATCAAATTTATCTAAGAAAAAAGCGTTTTCAAAAGGCGCCGTTTTTAGTTTACTCCAGGTGCAGCTTCATCTGGATCAGTGTGTTCGCTGGAGGTAGCCGTAGACGTAGAGTTGTGTTTTTGAATTTACTCAGCGTACTGCGGAGAGGCCTTTAGATGTGCTCAGCAGCTGTTAATCATTAGAGTTCAACGGTTCACGTCGTTGAATCGAAATGTGTAATTTGAAATCTTCTATAGCAATTTTCTAAGTTTATGAAGTAATCAGGAATACTTAAGATCTCGATTGCAGTTCGCCTTACCGCCTAGCAGCGAATACTCATCATGTTAGTTAGGAGAATTTGGTATTGGATCAACCAAAAAAATTCCCTTAATGATCATTTTCTTTAATGTCATCACGTCTGCTCTATGTTGTACTGTTATTTTAAGAAGAAATTATGTCTTGGTCACTCACAGAAGTATAAGAGTTAATAATAACGAGTCCTGACTTGCAATGTTTTCTTTTTGAAAGTGAAAAGTGATAGAATTTAAAGCAATTCACTTTTTAAGCCAAACCTGATCAGTGCTACATGCATGGGGGTTTTCTTGTTGGTGGAAAACAGTCTTCAAGTTAGTCACAATATTACAAACTGTTTAGAATGTGAATATTATTGAAGGCTTGTTGAAATTTAACGATTGGTTGTTTGCCTTCATTCTCTCTTCTGTATTTGAATCAATCGTCAATCAATCGTCCCGAGAAATTCAGTAAATCGACATATAAAATGCTATTTGTTACAATTCAATTACGATAGAGGTGATCAAATTTCATATTGATGTAATATGGACCGAGTATTTTTGTTTAATTTTTGTGCAAATCTTTATTTTCAGATGGTTGTTGAGTGGTTAACTTTGTTAGAAGTAACGAATTTTTGGTCAATTTACAATTTCAAAATTGTTTCCTGCTTACGTCTCGTAGTGATATTTCTTACTTTTCTTTTGCTTATTACTGAGTACGAATTTGGCGGCGTATATACAGGCTATTTTTCTCTAAAATTAAATATGACACAAGATTACCTTTCTTTTGCGTAAGTATCTTTTGAAAGGATTAAGGGTAGTACATTATGTTCAGTTATTTCACAATTCAGATTTGAAAGATTTTTGTATGGGAAATTTTAAAAATATAAAATTGTGTATATATTGTCCACTTACATGTCAGATCAGTAGGTTTAGATGTCATCAGTTACTGTCAAATTATTAGGCTATTAATGATTAAATTTTTCCGTTTAAATTGCTTTTTTTAATCTCTTTGAGAAAGTTGTGAAGGCAGTTAGATCAATTAAATAATAAGTAAAGAAATGGTATTTGGCAGTGGCACAGCTTTACAAGCGACTTTGGTGAAATGTGAACTCTGTATATTGGTTTCAATCGAGGGGAAAACCTGAGAACTTAAAGAGAAACTCGAGGAAAAATGTCTAAAGCTTATAGCTTAACCATTTATACCCTAACATCAGTATTCATTTTCCCCATACTGTGCTCCATACTTTTCCCGAAGGTGTATACAAGGTGAACTTGTTTAACAAGCAAGGGCTTCCTCAGTTGGTGATCATTTCTTTTATTCTCATGACCTTAGTGTGCGATTCATAGATATTACTGTGAGGAGAATTAGCTGCTAATCACTCTTAGGGTTCAAAGGGTTATTGGTTTGGGAATAAAAGGAAGGGACATAGCGGTTGAACGCGACCATTATCACCACTGGGTTGCTTTCTCTCCTCTCTGGGTGGGTTGTCCCATATCTTTACCCTCATAAATTGTGCTCTAGAGTTTAGAACTAAAATAAAATTTATCCCATGTTCCGACAAATAGCGAAGCTTCATCGTTTTCTTGACACACTACACACAACCCACAATTCCTTTAGTCGCTCTGACGAAGGGATAACGTTCGAAACGTCAGTCAGCTTCAGAAACTCTTTAAAAATGATTGTCAACTTGGTTAATAATGTCCAAGGTAGTTAAATAGAACGTCCAATAAACCCACGCGTTCCAAAACCTTTAAGATAAAGCATTCTTATGCAGCAAGTCAAACCCGGCAAATATTTGATAAAACAAACTATGGCATTACCAAGGTATTTTTTTTGTATCGAAAACTATTCAAAAATTCACAGGAAACTGAAAAACGTAACCGATAGGAGGAACCCAAATTGAGTTGCTCAGTGGACGTCAATCATATAAGTAGGCACTGGTTCTAGGTTGTTTGAATCTTAAATAGAACGGAAAAAGTCCTACATGACGATAAACGCTTTAACTGTACCTAATAAACAAAGATCTTCACGCTGCCTCTGCAAAGTAAGGAAATAGTACTGTTCACGGAATAGATCGTGCTGCGCTACCGTTTAGCCCCTTACACCCTGACATCTGTATGCAGATTCTCCGTACTGTTATCTATGTATTTCCTGTAAGGTTGACAAGGAGAATTTGTTTAATAATCAAGAACTTCTTAAGCTGGTGATCATTTCCTTTATTCTCATCACCTTAAAGTTTGATTCAGAGGTGATATTGTAAGGAGAAATTAGATGCTAGTCACTGTTAGGAGTCACAGGATTAAATAAGAAGCTCGTCGAAAAGCTGTTTCTTTTGCTCAGAGTACATGATATAGTTACAGAGTCAAAGGGTAGCAATTCTGAAGTCAATGTCAAAAGCACTGCGGGACTGTGTTGATTTCCTTCACTAAATGATTGCACTAAAAAAAACAATGCCCTCTTTTAAATCAATCAGATGCTAAACTTGGAACGACTATGGCAATAACACTTGAATTTTTGTGCATTTGACGTTGTTTACTTGTAATTACTTTGACTTCTCATTGGTTTCTTTTGATATTCGTCTGCGCTATGAACAGCCTTTGTGATCAGTTTGGTTTTACGACACTCGATCGAAAAGCGCTTCCGTGTTAAGTGCTCTTTTCTTTAGTCCATGAACATTTTTGAGCGGTCGTTACACCGTAGATGTTCCTTACTACCACATATCACACAAGCCTTTAAACCACCAGGGCCAAATACCCGGTGGGGTTGGACGATCGGCGGGGGCTCATTAGATTCATCGGATTTCACAGATGCTTGATCTTCCTGCGGTGTTTCTCCTCTCTGACTAGACGCGTCGCTGGAGGCTCCAGACATCGGTGGCGCTTTACTTTCAGTCTGGGAAACAGTATCATCATATGATCTCCATTTAACTCCCTGTCCAGAGGGTGATGGATTTACTGGTTGTATGGTAGTTTGATTGCGTGGCTCTTGCCGGCCATCGTTTCGCCAGTTCATACTAGCGTCAGCTCGGGTTGGGGTATTGTTTCGCGGTGTACTATTTGACGGTCCAGGGGTTTTTGTCTTTGACTTGTTGCCTAACACTGTCATGTGCATCTTAGTGTCCCCACCATGGGTGGGGAGAGGAGGAAACCCAGGTGGGGGCCGAGAAAATGTCTTGGACTGACTTTCTTTTGTTTTAGCTGCCCCAGGTTTAGTAGTTTCCTGTGACACGCCCTTGAGCACAGCACTGTACGACACTGAAGATACAGTTTGACTCTCAGCAATTGTTTCCACGGTGGGGCGTTTATTGCTGGGTTCCACTGGAGCATGAGGAGACGGAGCCATCCTTTCATACAAGCTATCAGCATAGTCCGGTAATAAATAAGATACTTCTTCAGGTAAGCCCTCTGATGACCGTCTCCTCTCAGCCTTGCTAACAAACTTACGAGTCCCCGCCCTGTTATACGGTGTTCCTTCGTGTCCTGTTTGTTGACTGAGGGGGCTGATTTTTTTTGTTGGCGAAACTCTTTGTGCTCCTTTGTCTTGTTTTCCCTCAATCATGAGTTGCTGCAGCTCCTGGTTCAATTGGTTTATAGCAATACTGCTCTCGTTTGATTTGGTCGGCGAAGGAGATCTAGGGGGTTTGTTCTTCATCTCCTTAATTTTTCCTGCAGATGACGCATTGATGATTTTGTGTGCAGGAGGCTTCAAGATCTTCGTTACGTTTTCCTCCAATAGCCCTATGGGTATAATAAAAAGTAGTTTAAAAAACGACAAAAAACAAGCAAATAAACAAAAACGACCGTAATACTTGATCACTCTCACCTTTGTTTAAGTACATCCTTATTTCCAAAATAACACCAGGAGGAAATCCGGCCTCCTGGAAAACAAAATTATGTAGTCAATTAAGAGACCGCACGAAAAACTTTTTCCAAGGGCCGTTTATTCAAATAACCGAGAAAATTTGGGTCGGTGTGTTTCTACAAGAGGATATCAGAACTGAGTGTAAAAAGTAAATGAAGTTTGAAGCACAGGCAGCCCAAGCTCACGTCTCGAGAAAAAGCAAACTATCAATCACGAAACTGTCACGTGTTGTGCGATTCGGTTTTAAGTTTGCAGAGGAACCGTTGAGAATTTGAACACGTTGAATAGTATGGGGAACGAAAAACGGTCGATTTACAACGATAAATATTTCAAAATATGAACTCTTTACACGTAAAATCAATAAAACTTACTCACATCATGTGTGTCCGCTGTGGTTTCCGGCGATTTCTACCCTTAAAAAGCTTGCTTTTCCATCACTGTTATTCTTGTTATTACTACGTCTTTTGACAGGAATAACAGTGATGGAAAAGCAAGCTTAACACAGCAGAACTACAACGGACACAAACGATGTGAATAAGTTTTATTCATTTTACGTGTATAGAGTTCAAATTTTGAAATATCTATCGTTGTAAATCGACCATATTTCGTTCCCCATACTATTCCTTATAATGTGTTCAAATTTTCAACGGTACCTCTCGTAACTTAACACCGTATCACACAACGCGTGACACTTTCATGAATTAACTGTTGGCTTTTTCTCGAGACGTGAGCTTGGGCTGCCTGTGGTTTGCCGTACTTATGCTTTAACCATTTAACCCCTAAGAGTGATTAGCATCCAATTTCTCCTTACAACATCACCTCTGAATCAAACATCAAGGTCACGAGAATAAAGGTCATGATCACCAAAGAAGTTCTTGACTTTTAAACAAATTCTCCTTGTCAAGACCTTGGGAAATGTAGGGAGAACAGTAATGGAAATATACATACTGATATTACGGTGTAAAAGGTTGAAGAAGTTTTTGCGGACTCACTCGGCTAAGCCTCGCGAGTCCACAACATTTTGATCACTATGACGACGAATGTTGCTGTCGATAAGAGTACAGACCATGCTAAACCACTGTCGATTTGTTAAAACTCACCTGCAGAGTTCTCTTAAGTTCTTCCCAATCAGCTGTGAGGAGAGAGTCCTGAAACATATATTAATCAGGGAAAGAGGCTCAAACCATTCTTAGTTAACGCATAAATCAACTATAATTTGACTTTCACCCTCCCACCCTTCACATTTCAGTCAACAAACAACATTCAGGTGACAAATGGACAAAGAAAGTCTCGATAAAAAAACAACAACAACAAAAAACAGATAAATAAAGAATACATGGGCGCGTGTGGATATGGAATTTTTCTTAGAGTGTTCAACTCGATAGCTCACGAGTGAGATGCCGAGTTGAACTCAAGAAAAGAAAGTTCTACAAGCAACCACGTATTATTTCGTTTATCATATAGACACAATATCCCCTTACTGACAAGAAAAGTCAACTTTATTAACGAATGAAAGTAAAGGATCGACAATCCCCGAATAAAAATCGTACAAGGCATTGGCGCTAAGACTCAAGATGAAAAAATGAGTTGAAACACTACAAAAACAAACGATGGGCGTAATTTTCAATGTACAAAGTTCTCAGTTATTGACTTGGTCCTCACCGACCGAAGAAATCTTTCAGGTACACGGCCAAAATCGGCCTGTGACAAATCGTCCAGTTGTCGATTTTTGTTCTCAGCCGCGTGAAATGCCATAAACAAAGCCACTGAATACGTAACTATCGGTTTTCTCTCCGTATTTTGGTTTTCTTTCCCTTCTAGGAAAGTTTGAACGTCACTGTCTGTAAGCAGCCATAATCCGAACACATCCCGACAAACAACCTTGGATTGAGAATGGTGAAGGCTTTGCTGTTCATTCATCAACCTGACCGAGTGGCGCGAAAGGCGAGTGACGTGTCAGCAGCTGATTGACAATATCAAACACACGTGAAAAAATACGATATTTTTCCAAGTGTGTTATTCACGGCTTTTCTCAGGGCTGGAAATCCTCGTGTAACACCATAGTTTATATGATAAATACCTGCATTAGATAATAACGCTCCAAAAAATTAGGAGGAAACTCACGCGAATACAATTGTCGAAAAACTTTTGAAACAAATCCTGCAGCTTCAGGTTTTCTAACATCAACTTGACTTTACAGTAGGGGTCCCATTCTACATTAGAAAAAAAATAAAAGCAAAATTAAAACAGAACAACACATGTTACACAAAATAATTAGAGATATCTTGATGATTTGACTTCCAGTCTTAGACCACTCACAGGGTTGACCATGCATCGCTCATTCTTGTGTTCATGTCACTGTCTACGCTACCAATATTCCAAGCTACTCTGACCAAGTATTCAGACAGCCAGTACCAAGCTTTGCACGTCATCAAAATATTTTACATTTAAAAATGTCAAATATTTTAAAATGCTCCAGACACATCTCTTTCTTGTTAAATAAGTACATGAATATTCTTGAAGAGGGGAAACTTATTTTACTGCTTTTAACAGAAGTTATCTTCTGTTCATTGATTGACTAATGACTGATTGCTTGATTGAGTTATTGATTGCAACCTTTAGACCTGGAATTCAGCACACTGCATTTCACACTGTAAACCATGGAAGTTATCATACATTTTTTTAATAGAGAGGACTAAACGACCTCTTTTTACCATATCATACCTTCACTATCACCCTCGTTCCCAGTGCCCTCCTGGAGCTGCTCCTCTGTCAGGTCATCTTCAGGTTCAATTAACACTTCATCCTCCATTGATGAGCCTTCAGATTCTTGCTTCGCTACTTCATCTTCAATCTTCCAACCTGATGCTCGTAACAGCAAAATATCCAGCAAAGTACTTTTGACTGGCCTATTAAGATAAAGAAGACAATCAAAGAGGCACCATGGAAAAGAGGAAGAGGGGTACTGGAAAACAAAGTCTAAAAACTTAATTTTCCCTTAAGCTCAACCCTTCAACTCACACATCAAATGTGTAATTCTCCTTACTGACAACAATACAATTCTTATAATGTTAGTTCAGAGAATTTAGTATTGGATCAACTAATTATCCCCAAATTATTATTTTCATTTGTTCTCATAACTTGTTGAAATTGTAAGGAGAAATTCTGTCTTGGTCACTCATGGGAGTTAAAGGGTTAAACTTCTGTGAGTTACAAGATATACTTTCTCCTAACATTATCAATACAATATCAAGCAGACAAGTAATGAGAGTAAAGGAAATATCAATGAAGGAATTATTAGTTGATCTAATACCAAATTCTCTGAGCTAACCTCATAATAATTGTATGGTAGGGTTTAAGGAGAATTACTCTTGGGATATTGGGAGTGAAAGGTTTTAAGGACTGGATTAAATTGTGCATTATCTGAGGCCCTGCCTAACGGGTAAATGAGCAAGAAACCCTTCCTTCCCAGCATCGAAATCTACTTGCCCTATGTGACTGAATGGGATTCTTAGAAACCTGTCTTCCTACTGACACCCTTTTTTGCACTTGGAACAGCACAAAACAGACAACAGATATGAGCAAATGATTAGCCTCATTCAAAATCTTTTATGCCATTAGATTCTTTATAAAAGCAAACTACTGGTATTTCTTACACAGCAAGATCTGGTGAAAGTACAAGGTCCCTGATTGTAGCAAAATATCTTGAGATATCATTCCTGTGTACAAATTTTAACAAAAACAAATCAATAAAACCATCAAAAGCTATCAAGTCAAGGAATGTGATATTCAACACATACCCAAGGTGGACTTTATTGACCAACAGTACTTTGGGACAATTAAGCTTTAAACATTTAGATTCCCAGCAGTGATTTATATTCAAATTGTTCTCTTAAATTTAATTAATACGTTATCTTGCCAACAGACAATGAGAACAGACAAGCTCATCAGCAAGATGGCTTTATCTAAAAAAAAAAAAACCACCAAATTTGACTGGCTATAATTGTTCAGAGTGAATTGAAAGGCAGTCAGTCAGCAGAATTATTGATTGTATCTTGGAAGTTACATGTTTGTAATGTGGGTTTTAGAGGCCTGTTTCATAAGTTCAGTCAATTTGTAAATAATATGGGATGGTAAACAGATCAGTGGATGGGATAGCTATCCAATAATTCTTCCTTTTTTTTACAAAGTGCCACTGTTTATTTACAGAGCAACTGGAACAAACTAACTGTGAAGAGGCTCCAACCAAATAGTGGACTTAAGAGCAACTACCAGTAGATGATTTGCTAAGTTGCATAGCAACAGCTTCCAAATAGGTGCAAATACTTAGATGACACTCACAGACCCATTTGATCTCAACTTACATACACACATGCTGTAAATTCAGATAATTAGTTTGGCATAAATTAACTCTTCAACATCTAGCATACTGCTAGGATTTACAAATGGTAACTTTCAGTATAATGATTTGATGTTGAAGGCACTGCTCTCTATTTATGGTGAAGATCTAATATAAGTCATTGGTAAAGGAAAAGTCACCCTTCTGCTCGGTCAACTTTTGGTCCTGTGATCCTTAAGAATCCTGTCAGACACGCTGCTTTAAAGTTGTGAATTGCCACTGATTCAGCCTGTAGAAAAAAGCAATTTTGTTACCAGTCATAACTATAACCCTGACAAAGTGCCTGTGCTCTGGAAGAATTGTATTTATTTATTATTACTATTATCATTGTTCCATGTGTGCATTAGGCTTACCTGATCAAATGATAACCAGTTGTGGAGACTATTTGCTATGATGCTATTGACTGATGGCTTCAAACTGCGACAAATACAATAATCAAGAAATTCAAAATACAAGATTTAAAAAGGCAACAATCCAAACTAGTGCACTTACAGTTACATTCAGGCAGCGTAACTGCAAATGAAACAAAGGCTAAGTGTATTCTACAACCAGTTGCAAAAGTGTTGAGACACCTTGAGCAAAAAGTGTGTTTAATGGTGACAAAGAAATTTGTTGCAAAAGTTGCCCCCATTACTCAAAGTAATGTTGTTCATCAATGTGATGATATTGCTTGGCTAGAAACATTGCAATGGGGGTGAGGGATACTACATTTAGGAATGTCACTGTTAGTCACTGGGTCCTTAAATACTTTTTATCTTAACATATTATAATAAAGTTTCCACATAACAAGCATCCTGATTAGCTGGAACAACATACTTCATTGGAGTACAGATGCACAGAAGTAGGGAAAACATCTTCTGTTTCTTCTTTACTTCTTTTGTACTCTAGCCATTTCCTGCATGCTTTACAACAGAACAGAGCATGGACAAGGCTCCTTTATTTGTTAATTAACGTACTTACCCATTAGAGTCATTTTCATTTAAAACCTCCAGATAAAGTTTCCCAAGAAATGATGAAAATCTTTGACACCTTTGGCAGATATCACTTAAGGCTGATTGCTAAATTAAAGCAAAAGTAGATATCATACTTAAAACTTATTGTCTTTCTTATTCTATTTGCAAAACATGACACTATCGACATTGCTGATCTTAGCAGTATGCAGGATGCGTGTCATATATGAACTCTGTATTGGGACTTGCTCACCATAGAGTCTCTGTGACTTAGTCATAGAGCATTGGACCATGGAATCCAAAGGCGTGAGGTTTGATTCCTTGTGGGGACTCAGAATTTTCCCTTTGTCCCATGCTTGTGACAAGACGAAAAATGTATTTCTCTAGATATCACATTACAAGCAACAATCACCAGGATTGGTAGAGACAGCACATAGTTAATGCAAGACAATCTTTTGATAATGTTTAGAGAGAAACTCTGGAAATTCCACAATATGCATACATCACTTATTACTTACATCCATCAGCTGTTTTTGACAAGTCATCACCTCTTTATTGATAAGATCACCAGCATCAGGTATATGCATGTCTAAAAATTCAAAACATACAACAAATTGGATGCAAACTCTCTAATCAAGAATTGTTGTGGACACAATTCATAGTGAAAAGTACAAGACATGAGAAAAAGTTTTTTTAAAAATTTCTTTCTCAACTTCAGCATAAATATAACAAATACTGAGAAAAATACCTCTAAATAGTGTGCACACTTTAACCGCCACATTTTCAAACTTGACATTATTGATAACCATCTCAAGTAATAGTTTTACAGTAACAGACACTTCAGAAACTCCTGGAAACTCCTGAGATATTCTGGTATCAGCTATTAACTTGTCAAGCTCTTGTAGATAATCTCCATTATCACCCACTGCCATATGGTCAATAAGTTTCTTTACATTCCGTTGAAACTTCCATATTTTCCACTTTAACTCTGCTTTCAATTCTTCATCCCTAGTATTTTCATTCAATGGCTGTGTTTTGAGACACTCAGACTGTTGCCATGGTTGAAAAGTTTGTTGTTGCAATGGTTGTGTTATTGCTGAATTGTCACCTAAATTTGTGGAATTGTTTGTTTGAAACTGAGCAGCAATATTACTTCTCCCTTGTTTTGGACTGAAAGAAAAGTTTGAGAAAGGTGACTGTGGCAACCTCTGAACTGACTGAAAAGAACTGTTCCTGCTTTGTGCGAGGGAAGTGAAATTCTCTAGCTTGGGTTCTGTGCTTGGTGCATTTGCTTCATTCATCTTTGGTTGTGAAAATCGCAGATGAGGTGGTTGGTACTTTAGAGGTGATTCATTGCTTGGTAATACTGAGTTGGCTGAAAACCAAATATAGAGTCATAAAAGTGTGAAAATACTTAAATCATGCATAAAAAAAACCCTGCGAAATACATAGTTCATTTTGCTATATGCTACACATGTGAATAGTACTTTTTACACCTGCTGATTGACTAGTTCAGAAGTGAATAACAGGTACAGTAATATTCACCTCCAAGTAGCTTTAGAGAAAAAATTACACATCCAAAGTTAAAAATGTGACCATTTATGAGTATATTGACAGAAATGAACTATTTTTTTTTTATTTCAGTGAGGTATATACTAAAACAATAACTCACATCAGTGTCAGTGAAATTAGTGGATATTAACCTCCACTTCATTGAATACTTGGTCCAAGTGTTTAATGGTCACTTCTAAGGTATCTAGCTATAGCAATTCATGTAGCTACATACTTGGTTAATGTACATTAAACCAGTCTTTAAAATTATTGGTTTGGGACACAATTCAGACTACATCGTCACAACTAAATTTAAACTAAACAAATAAACAATTTAAAATTATTGACTATTCATTAAGAAATAAGTCTTCAACGAGTGCTGCATAAAATACAGTCACAAGATCCACTACAAATTTTGATTAAATTTTTCTAAGTTTAATTTATTACTTTAAAAAGTACTCAAACACATGTCATCGAGTAACAGCCCTAAAATGCTTACAAAATACACCCACAAGGTAATTATAACTCAAAAAAAATAAATATGGTAAAGAAAAGGGAAGATTATAGTTAAAAAAAAGAAATAATGATGACAAATGAAAATGCTCAAACCAAGAAGTATATCTACAGAAGTTTAACTCATGTAGATACACTCCAAGACTTCCACATTTCACCATCCAGCTCTCCTATAACAAAATTTGGTTCCCATTCTGACATGACAATATTAGTAATGTCACCCTAAAGTGTAAACTGTTACTAACCTTGGCATAAAAACCAGTTATGCAACATTTTCAAATGAAATATCTCACAAGTTCTAAGCATATTCCACAAAAAATGAAGTGACAAGTACAGGGTAGAATATTTGATGGTATACAACAAGAAAGAGTAGCACACTTATTCCATACCATGCAAGAGAAAACATGATGGCCAAAACAGTCAAGAAGACATTCATGCAGATTTCATTTTGAAAGCAATTAAAACACTCCTTGAAAATGTTTTAAAAACCTAAAATTCATGATAAAAAAGAATGCATTGCTGGTACAGCTACTACATTTAAATTCTTGAAAGAAACTAAAAATTATTCCAATTTGGAGAGAAGAAGCTTGGAGTGCCTCGTGGTTAAAGGTTGGGTGGATCACAAAAACAGCACCTTTCCTGTTTTCTGTTTGGGTGTATTTCTCTGGCATGGTATAAACAATCAAACACAAATTTTAACATACTTGAACTGTGTCCTGTCTGTGACTGAGTGAGAAATGCACTTGGGCTGGCCAGGTAAGGCCTCGCTGAGCGCAGTGATTCCACTGGTCCTGGATCAGTTCTTTTGACATTGAATGTTTCAAGAATGTTCTTTTCCTTGTTCTGCATTTCAAAGTCTGGCTTTGGTGGAAGAGGAACATCATTCAAGGAAATTGCACTTGAATATGTATCTCTCTGTGATTTACTGCCATATACTTGTGGTGGACTAAATGCACTATGGTTTAAATTAAATAGCTCTCTCTGTGAAGATTGGTCTTTTAAAGAAATGGGTAATTTGGTTGATGGATCTTTTATGGTAATGAAGCTGTTGCTTTTCTGCCACAATGGTTGCCGTGATTCTGCTGGATGGAATGTTAGCGGGTTCCACTGTTCATCTAATCTTTTCTGCTGGTCAGAACTCAATGCACTATAAATTTAGATGGAAAATAAGAAATACAATTTTAGGATTGAATGAGCAGAATAATAACTTTCAGATATTGGTAAATCCCCATTATGCTAAAATAAATCCCAGATTAATTTTGGGTTATTGCAAGGTTTGCAAGGACCATTGTTTAACCATCTACTCCGAAGAACTCCCCCCTTGTAATATAGCCCTAAGAAATTAATGACCCCTAAGAGTGACTGGCATCTAATTTCTCCTTACAATGTCACCCTTGAATCACACAGTAAGGTAGAGAGAATAAACTTTATGGAAATGATCACCAACTAGAGATGCTTTTGATTGTAAAACAAATTCTCCCTGTCAGCACCTTAGGAAATGTATAGAGAACAGTATGGAGAATTGTGTTAACTGATGTGAAGGTGTAAGGGGTTAAATCAAACAATAAGCAAAATAATGGTATTCGTTTGTTCTTATCACCTATCTTGAACACCATGCAGTGCTCTCTTTTTCAGGCTGTAACTGTTAAAATTTACTGCCTGCAGTACCTCTTATTACTCCCTGAAATTGCTTCAAATTCTTGAAAATTTAATGGGTAAAAGGATTGCTCTACCTGTTTGAAAATTGTGTTTACCTGTTTTGCTTTTAAAATAAGGATGAACCCTGACAAAGTATTGATTTTGTAAGAGAAATCACTAGCTGATCATTCCCTAAACACAATTAGATTTTTACATAACACAAAAATTATCATTCCCCTAGAGAGAATCTACACTCTACAAGTATACATATATCAAATTGTGAATTACAGAAATCTAGAGCCAATGAAAGTGTCGTTACATGTACTACTATGCCCTGATTGGATGTTAGTCAACACAGGTTTCCTTCCACATCTTGTCAACTTTTTGCAATAATTCACTAATACTCTCTTGCACTCCAGTGCAAAGAATTTTAGGTTGGCTTTCAAAAAAGCCATCCATGCAATAATTAAAATGTATTGAAAAACATAACCTAGGTGCCAAAAAAGCTTTCACACCAGATGAAAACCATTTTAAGAACACAATATTTGATGAAGGTGAGAAACATTAACATTTATTGATTCATGCCTGATACATACCTGACAGAACTGTCTTTCTGATGACCACTACCAACTTCTCTGTTCCATATCCCTTTATTAACAACATCATCAGGACTCTAAATGCAATGTAACATATCATCCATTAGACCAAGTGTTTCATTCCATATATTTTAATGGGTGTTCACTAAGTCTGCACTTGAGCCAAATGGCTCACAAGGGGCCAGAGCTTAATATCCCTTACGCTCATTAATAATTTTTCTTACTGTCTGCAATACAATTTTTATGATGTTAGTTCAGACAGTTTGGTAATGGATCAACTGATAACCCCCTGATTGAAATGTTTTAATGTACCTTAACAGTGTATCAAAATCATTAGAATAATTCATCAAATGATCATTCCTGGGAGTGAGAGTCCTGATTTTGTCATACTGAAAAGCTATGTATAACATGAACAAAGATTTGCACTATACCTTAGCAAGGCCTTCAGAGATAAGCACATCACCTACTGAAGTTTCTTCCCCATCTCTATTTCTACCATGATAACAAAAGATAATTTAAATCTTCAATGACAAAAATAAAGAGATAAAATAAGAGGGTGAGAGAGGCATATCTTTCAATTGAAATGTGATTTTTCCTCTAAATAGTTTTGTCCAAGGATGTGGTAGTGCTACACATGAAATATAACATTATTATAGTCATAATCATGACATGTTTTTATATTATCCATGATGTAGTCACTTCCCAGGTGATAGCCATTCCATTCTAAAAATTGAGAACAAACAAGAGGCACCATTTGTTCATTACTCCTTTCACCTGCAGTTAGTTACCTATGATCTGTAGCCTGAGCTCTTTAACCCTCTACACCCGAAAATCTGTATACATATTCTCTACACTGTTCTCTGGACATTTCCAATGAAACTGACAGGGAGAATTTGTTTTACAGTCATAAGCTTTTTCAGTTGGTGATCATTTGGACCTTTATCCTGAAGACCTTAATGTTTCTTCCAGAAGTGATACTGTTAGAGGAAATTAGATACTGGTCAATCTTAACCCTTTAACTCCCAAGAACTGATTATCAATTCTCCCCTCTACACATTTCCTTGTAAATAAGTTGTGAGAATTTGGTTTTAGATCAAGAAAACAACTTCTACCTGATAAGTTTGGGTATTCTTATTACCTGTTTACTGGATAATGTAGAGATATTATAAGGAGAAGTTAAATGTTAATGACTTCTGGGAGTTTAGGGTTAAGGACTCAAGGGTTGAGTAGATAATGGCTTTTATTTCTAAATAATTGTAAACTAACCGCAGATAAAGTTTCCCTCTAAAATTGTCAATAAAATGGATTTTAAGTCTGCTTGAAACAAGTTCACTGAATCTTTTATTAGCCTCTTCTGACCAGCTTCCATCAATCTGTAGAAATTAAATGAAGATTTAGTGAATAATATTTTATTACTTTATTTCTTGTGAAATAACTTAATTCTCACTTTTAACATTTTTACCACTGTTGATCATAAATTGAAGTGAAGCTAAGTACAAAACTATAAAAAATTGTTGCAGATCTTTTTAATTAAGTAAAATTTTAAAAACCCTTTTTCTTCTTAAAAAAAAATCAAATTTTGTAAACATATAAAACCAGTTAGACAGCCAGTCTAAAATAAAGGAAAAGCTTATTAAGCTACTACAAAAACCTAGAAAAAGAAATGATCCTCACTAGTGGATGCAATTTTTAGCAATTGTAGTAGAGAAACAGCAATTGAACCTGTTCCTCCTTGTTGGGTCCTACAGTACCAACTGAGCAATGAAGCCACATGTTGAGAGTAAGGCAAATTTTAGAGGGTTATTTTTTCTCATAGAGGAATTTGATAACAACTTGTATGAAATAAATTTCATTTGACCAGCTGATGAAAATCTGGCGAAGAAATCTGTAAGCTTGTAAAAATAAGATTGATCTCTGTGACTATAAAATAATGCAAGCGTGAAAACAGCACATCTCTCAATTGAAACCAAAATGCAGCTAAACATAAAATGATATGCTATTATTCTGATTGATAGTTTACTAGGTTACTTACAGGTTTCACACCATCCAGTGTTATATACCGTGCTAGAACTGGGCGAGACATTATATCACTGGGAGACGGATGACAAACTCTATCCAATGGTACACATTCTGACTGTCCATAATCCAAGTAAAATACATCTAACATGCTGTCAAAAAAAAACCAAAAACAAAAACAATTCTTGGGTAATAGTACAAAAGCAGATTTAACACTTACAACTAGCTTTTATAAAAAACATTACAGATACACTGTACCTTTCACCCTTTACTCCTGTCAGTGACCAAGACAAAATTTCTCCTTACAATATCAATACAATGTCACACAGACAAATAATGAGAATAAACAAAAATATCAATTGGGGTATGCATAGTTGATCCAATACCAAATTCTCCAAACTTAATCATAGAAATTGTGCAGCTGATAGTGAGGAGAATTGCTGCTCTCTAACAGTGGTGATGAGTGCATGTCCAATTGTAGTATGAGTAAACTTAGCCACAGATGCCATAGACTTTTGGGGTTCATCCTAAATTTCACATCAAAACTAGCCTAACCCTTGAACTCCCAAGACTTGATTGTTAATTCTCTCCTCTAGCTGCAACACATTTCCAAGTAAATTATAGCTATAAGAATTTGGTTTTACATCAAGAGAACAACTTCTATCTGATAAGTTTGAGTATTCTCATTACCTGTTTGCTGGATAATGAAAAGATGATAGAGGGAGAAGTTACATATTAATCAAGTCTGGGATTTAGAGGGTTTAGGAAGTACTGCTAAAAAGATACCCCCCCCCTTCCCCTTCCCCATCCCAACATTACAACCTTAGATGGAATGTCAGTAATGGTAACCAAAAACTTTCAGTTGTCAATATATTATTAAAATTTTAATGATACTAAAATTATATCATACAGTGAGCCATAGTTCTTAATATTATAAGAATTACTCAACAAACCTGTTGCTAATAGGCCTAGTAACCTGACCTCTTCTCCACTGGCCAGTGCTTGAATGAAATACACACACTGCCTGACCACATGTGGGTATTTTCTCAACACTTGATCTTTGTTGTTCATTACACCATGAATTTAATGCAGTCATATATGTGTCAAACTGTTTTAGCTCATCAGAAGTACCTGGTATATAAAAATGTTAAAATTCAAAACAAAACACCTCAAATATTCCCAGACGCATTTAACCCTTTAACTCCTAAGATCTGAAAATCAATTCTCCCCTCTGGCTGCTATACATTTCTTTGTAAATAAGTGTCAAGAATTTGGTGTTAGATCAAGTTGCTGCATATTGCATGGATATAAAAGGAGAAGTTACATGTTAATCACTTTAGGGAGTTATAAGGGTTAGAGAAATGTTAAATAAAATTAGCTAGTAAATCTGTGTCATGAAATTCAATTACACCAGCATGTTCTCCAAACTTCCTACCAAAACCAAACCTTCATGATTGAATGGTAAAGCATGTAAATCAATCATACAAAAAAACCTAAAATTCAAACTGGACACACCATAATGCTTATGCATATACATGTAGCGCACATCTTCTCGTGGACATGAAATTAGTTACACTGTACATGTTTTCCTCACATGCATCAGGAAAGTCAAAAGCAATGTGACCTGTTTATATAAATCATCCACTTTGATCAGTTCTCCTGGATCACTTATCAAACCTCTTGAAGGGACCTCTACTTAATGCAACACACCCTAAGATCAGTATGCATATTCTCCACACTTTCTGCTACACATTTCCCATGGTATTAACGAGGATTTGTCAAACAATCAAGAGTTTCTTTAGTTAGCAATAATTTCTTTTATTCTCTTGACATTAATGTTTATTTCAGAGGTGACACTGTCAGGAGAAATTAAATGGCCGTCACTCTTTGGGGTTAGAGGGTTAACCATGAAACTTGACCAGAGTAAAGAAGATGGATTAATAAGGTTTGAATAGAGAAAGAACTGAACTTTAATTTTCTTGTTGGGGTATGTTTTGAGCATCTTAATTACTAAGGTTCTTCAGTGTTAAGTAATTCAAATGTTTTTTTTATGAGTATCTATGGAATACCTATTATATATTAACAGAGCACTCTAATATAACACTCTAACATTAATCTATCATAACAATGTCTTTTTTTTTGGGGGGCTTGAAGTACTCAATATTAAAGATGTACTTCAAAGAAAAACTTCCATCAAAAGAAAATCATTATTTGATTTGCACTTCGCTTCCTTTTCCTTAACAGAGTGAAAAACCTTTTTGCAGTCCACTTTTCTTGCTGATGGTTAGTTCTCTCATACAAGAAACAACTACCAGCGGCAACTACATTGTTTGAAAGAAGCTTCACACGCTGGCAAGAATTGGCTAAGGGTCAAGAGTTTCTAGTAAAGCTGTGTAAACAAGTCCATAAGTCAATGCTGGCCTCTAGACTAATCTAGAGTACGTTAGAGCCAGAAATATTATATCTGGCTCTTGAAAATGTAATGAACAGTTGTAATTAGACATGAATTAAATTTAACTAACTACGGATTTCAAAACAAACAGGCAATTATTAATTTTAAATAGAGACGTACAGAGAACGAGAATCGTCAAATGTTGATATTAGTTTTTCGATCGCTTACGGGTTTTTTGTATTACAATTTTATCTGAAAATATGGTGTTTATCGTTTCAGCCTTACCTGTCTGGGCCCAAAAGTGCTCCACATCGATGATATGAGTGACTCTTGCAAGCGTGTGACTGTTGACAGAGTCGCCAGGAGACTGTTTGACCTTTAGTTTGGATTCATGTTCTCGAGAAAGAGACAAAACCGACGACCCAACACGCGTGCTACTTTCTCTTAAAGTTTTAGCAGCTTCCCATCTTGCAAGTGCTCCCCTGCCCCTTCCACGACCGCTCATAATCTTTCGCTACAATTTCATTAACCAGGGCTAGATGGCTTCACATATTTCATAATATGAACCAGTACGTGTAAATGTTCCAGGCGTTCTGTGCTCCGATAGATGCCACGTGCTGGATCCGACTCAAACCAGGCACCGCGGTCAAATGGAGACCACCCAAGGTGTTTGCTGAGTACAGTGAGACGGGCCATAAGAGAAATCGTAAGATAAGGTGAACAAAGCAGTAAGAAACTAATTTTACACGCACATTAATCTTGACGGGGATATCGCAAATGTAATCCTATTCGAATTTATGTTTATTCTTCTAGCATGAACATGCACCACCTTTGCACCACACAAGACTTACAACGTCAGTAAAATCGGAGGGAAAAAAAGGAGAGAAGCAGTCACTTTTATATTCCTTTCCTTTAATAGTCCGTAACCAGGAAGAGTACCACTGAAGGAAACTGATTGCAAATAACACTTGAAAGGTCATTCAATCAGACAATCACGCTTAACAAAAATATTTCGGAAATAATTTCTTTTGAGCCAGAAAATGAAAAAACTGTAAACTTAGAAGTCGGTCCAGTAATATCTACGCCTTGCGAACCGTTTTGATTTGCGTGACGGAGGTGTCAGAAAACGCCATGCACGGGACCATGGTGTCCTGTCTAGGTAAGGGAACAATTATATGCAAAATTGTTATCATCACAATTGTCTCTGTAAAATGTTACTCTGGAAATGCGAGACTTTGAACAGACTGCTCAGGGGTAATGAATTATACATAAAACAAGCCCCTACTCAGCTAGGACTAGACACTCCCCCCCATTCCAGAATAGCCCCTCATTCCGGGCTATTCTGGAATGATCAAGGTTCCGCGATCTGCGCATGACGTCAGATAACAGACGGAATCGACTGAGAGGCTGACTGGGGGACATATTCAGTTCTTCTTGTTACTCCAGTCTTGCACCAAGGCGTCCACCCCACTGAAACCATGAGAAGTGAATCTTGAGTTAAATCCCGGGAGTTGAGCATTGTTATAGGTTTCGAAACGGTCGATTATGTGGAGAGCCCACTTGGCATCCACCAGCCGGAAAACAGATGGATTCAGAGACCATTCATCTTTATCGATAAACTTACTAAGCTGATGAGCTTTCTCATTCAGCGATCTGGAGATCCACTGCGACTCGAGGGATGTATCCCGTGCAAAACAAAACTGAAATATAAATAATGCAAGCAACTAAAGGTGAACTTTAGACCTACCTATGGAGACTATTCTGGCAGCACTCTGTCTATTGGTGAAAACGTTACCCTCTTGTGTGTAAGGTGGTCCGTGAAGGACAGTAACTCATAGTAGATAGCTTTTAGCTCACGAAGATGAGAAGATGACAGTAGACGTAACTGGTAAAGTCGAAGAGAGTAACCATTAAATGAATCGATGTTGGAGTACCAGAATTTCAACTCTTCCAAAAGTGCTGCAGGGTAACGAAAGGTGTGATTCCATCCTGGTCGAGACTCGAAAGTCAGGCACATTTTTCTAGTGAAAATACGTGAAATAGGACCCTCTGCCAAGGAAACCGAAATCATGAAGCCCTCTTTTGTAGCTAGTTTGTGATGCGAAGATGACTCGTCCGTGCTTGTAGTGTCAATGTATTGCGCACTGTATTCATTCCATTATCAAGTTTCTCAAGAACTCTGTGCCTAACATGAGCAAGGGCGACTTCGGTTAATAGTTTAAACCGTAAGCCAAACTGTTTTGCTGTAAGTAGGTTTGACTCAGTCAAATAGTTCAAATAGCCATAAACTGGTGAATCTTACTGACTTTCGGAAGCACTGTGATGGGCCTGCACTGAGTTATTGATAGTAGATTAATCGTCAGACTTAAAGAGTGCTGTTACTTTACCTGTTCAATTGTTGAGAAAAATTGATAACGAACATGAGGTAATTCTGACAGTTGTTGTCAGACGACAAAAAACAGAAAAAGCCTTTAACTTCACAGTGTTACAATGTATATCTCTACCTCTTGGTATGGGAACCATTTTTGTGCCAAAATGATTGTATTTTGGATGGTATGTTATATAGGCAAGGAGGAAATGAGGGATGTTCCATTTGTGCATCAGCACCGCAAACATTTTAAGTCTTTGTTGATTAATCTAACAAATGGAGTTCTATAAATGCCGCATCAAATGAAAAGTGAACATAAAGTAAAAGAAATACATATATGATAAATGCATCCAAAGAGGTTTAAATGTATGATACGTAATGCACACACTTGATAACTTCTTTTAGAGGTCTCCGAATCGTCGTGTTTAACAAGCCTCAACAAACGAAGCCGTCCGCCATTCGAGATATGCTAATTTTGTGTTCCTCGTTTATATCGCTTTTATCAGTTCTTTGTTTGATCCATTTCCTTTATTCTTAACCGGAAACGCTCGATCGCACTCTCAGTCAGACAAAGTTCCTTACCCTCCCCCCCCAACCCGGTTTTTCAAAACTCTTCACACCGACAATTTATACTTATTAAATATGTAGTTTCGAGATGGTCGAGTGGCAATCGTGAGCGCGCAACGAGTGCAAGAGAGGTCATCGAGGTCGCGGGTTCGAATCACGCTACAGGAGTTATTCTCAATCTGGCTTGGGGGCCGAATAACTTCTCCCCGAGTATGATTTGGAGCTGGCGGACAAGGAGTAACTCTCGAACTGGCTTGGGGGCCGAGTGACTCCTCCCCGCGGAATCTGCATTTTTCTTTCACCATCTTTTCTATATTTTTCCCTTAATAAGATCATTTTATATCTTCGTTTTTCACTTTTGTGTATGTCTTTTTAGCAGTTATTCTGTTTTGTTTTGTTTTTTTCCATTCTTTCTGTTTATTTTTATTTTCTTATTTTGAAATAAGATTCAATATTTTTGCCTCTATTTATGTTATTATTATTTTCATTGATTCACTTTTTATATGTATAAATATTTTATGAGACAGGTGCGGCCGAAAATCCAATTTTGACGAAAGAAAGAAGTTTCTGTGGGCTAGGGCGTAACCAGGATTTTGGAGAGGAAAAGTAAAATTTGACCTCAGCCTTCCTAATCGTTATAAATTCAATAGCTGCAGCGTATCTCTCCCATTTCATTACTAATCCCTAATTTCTTGATGGATGCATTATTTTAAACCATGTATTCTAAATCCTAAAGTGTTTTATGTAGCTCAGAAGTCGCCGGAAAAGGCTCTTTTTCCTCAAATTAGAAATCATTTCATTTTCTGTAGCTGTTTTATATACCTTTCCCTAAATTCTTTCTTTTCGATACTTATGCTTTGTCCATTTCGGTCTGGAAATAATGGGCCTTTTAATCTCGTCACATTTTGTAATTGATAGACGATGGGAGTGAAAAGTTAGACTTTTCCTTAGTATCTTTGCTCAACGAAACTGAGGCTACGCTCAATGTCCGTTCGTAAACTGCCGTGAAGTTCTCGATATCGAGAAAAAAAGAAGGAGGCTGTAATTCTCTGAGGTACTGGTAATTTTCGTACAAGAATAGATTTCTCACTCTTTGGGAAAGGTAAAAGTGGCATATCTTGTTTTTACTTCACCATCCACTACAATTGACATTTAATCTGAATCAAGTAAACTAGTACCCAGTTTCTCTGTTTCCTGTGCGCCCCACGTGGGGAAGGAACTCAGGGTCGTAATTAGTGAAATGAACCACCGGAGCCGAGACAGAATAAAGTTCAAAAAGTAAATTAATGCCCCTTAATATCGCCTGCCCTTCCCCGGGAGCCAAGGGGTGGGGTTACAATTGACTATTACATTTACTTTGTACATCAAATTGGCTATCTCTTGCAGTCTTCTTTGGGTGCCGGGTACGGAGGCTGCTTTTGGCAGAGAGCCTTAAAGCACTCGGTCCTTGATTTAAAAACTGCTCTCAATGCACGTTCTTGAATTCGTTCAAGTTTCAGAAGTGCCATTCAATTTCACGGTACGTTAGATAAGGAAGAATCTAGCAAACTTATGAAGTAGCAGTTTGGCAGAACATGGTATAAGATTATGTAACCTCAGTAATACTCCTACTTTTTGACAAGCTCTTGCGCTAATGTTTTATATATGATAACTAACTTTTTTTTTTTATCGATGGTCACTCTGAGAATTGTAAGTTTTATCGAGGATTTCACCACGTAATTGTCAATTTGAAGCACTACTTAATCGGTCAACTGGTTCCTTTTTAGAGAACTTTGGATCGATGGCAATAATCTGATATTTGGTGGGATTGGTCTTAACCCTTTCACTTCCAAGATCTCATTAGTAATTCTCCTTACTGAATACCCTACAATTCTTATAACGTTAGTCCGGAGATTTTGATATTGGATCAAGTAATAATCGCCTAATTGATATTTTTGTTTATTCTCATCACTTGTTTGCTCGATATTGTATTGATTTTGTAAGAAGAAATTCTGTCTTGGTCACTTATAGGAGTTAAAGGGTTAAACACAGAGTTGCTTCACACCACTGCGTGACCTTCTCTGTTTCATTCATTATCTCTTGAACATCTTTTTAATCGAGTTCCCGGTCATGTATACTTGATGGTCGTCTCCGTACATAAAAAAAGTTCTCTAATTCAGCATATAATGGGAGATGGTTTTGGAAGAGATTCCATACTACATACTACTAAAGGTGCAAAGGAAGAACCCTGTGGGCATCCCCTGGTTTGTTCCTTACCCTGTGAGCAACCCCTGCTTTGTTCTTTTCCCTGTGAGGATTCCCCTGGTTTATTATTTTCACGCGCTTTGCAGATCATGTAAGTTTACTTGGTTTCTTCTAAGCTCAAAGAAAGGCCCCCTTTTATTTTTACTCTTACGCGTCCGAAGAGCTGTATTCCTTAAGGTTCTGAATCATTAGAACAGGATACAGCGAGTCGAACGTTTTGCTCATATGAGTGGATAATTCAGTCAAACTTTCCTTTCTATCAGCAGTTGGTTTCTAATCCTCAACAAGCCTTATCTCTTATATTCGTTTCAAGCCTTATTAAAGTTGTCTCGCAACAATGTTGTTTTCTTTACGCGGCCATTTTGAGATTCAAGTGTGAATCCATGGTTGCCATAACTTACTTGCTGAGCAATGACTCGCACACCTTGTCAACTGAGTTGAGAACAAAATTTCGATAATTGCAATGCCGCTACAATTGCAATTGTGTAATAAGTCAAAGTCAAAGAAATTTAAATGAAATAAATGCTTCCAGAGAGGTATTCGAAAGAATTCGTGATACCTGGCGTGTAACACATAATCCCAATGCACGCAGTTAATAACGTCTTTGAACAGTGTCCGAATCGTCGTGTTTCACGAGTCCCGGTAAACGAGGCAGTCCGCCGGTACGAAATATGCTAATGTTGTATTCCTCGTTTAGATCGCTTTTATCATTTCTTTGTTTGATCCATTTCCTTTATTCTTGACTGGAAACGCTCGATTGCGCTCTCGGCCAGACAAAGTTCCTCACCCTCACCCTCCCCCCCAACCCGGTATTTCAAAACTCTCTACACCGACATTTTATACGAGTGCAAGAGAGGTCATCGAGGTCGCGGGTTCGAATCACGCTATAGGAGTTATTCTCAATCTGGCTTGGGGGCCGAATAACTTCTCCCCGAGTATGATTTGGAGCTGGCGGACAAGGAATAACTCTCGAACTGGCTTGGGGGCCGAGTAACTCCTCCCCGCGAAATCTGCATTTTTCTTTTGCTGTTTTTTTTCCTTTATCACAATTTTTATCTTATTTTAACTCTAATCTTTTTTTTTCTCAGAAATTATCTTATCGGTGCGTTGTGTTATTTTTTGTTTTCACATATATAAGGATTTTGGTACTTTTCAGTTCCTTTTATTTTCCTTTTCTTTCCTTTTTTCTACAAGTCTTAAAACTTTCTACTTTTATCTGTTCTTATCTACAACCAATATTTCTCTGCATAACACCTCGTCCTCGGATTGGACACGTCCCCCGCGAAAAGGCCTCAATCGCAAAAACTGCTCTACGCTAGACACGTGAAGGGAAAAGCAAGAGGGGCCGCCCCAAGAATAGGGACCTTAAGATAGTAGGACGGGAGGAACCAGGACGGTTACCGGAAGTAAATTCGCATTAGCAAGCATGCGCACGAGAGCTCCTGTCTAGCGTGGTTGCCGTCGTAGTCTCGTCTAGAATGCCATTTAGTGAGTTTCGCCGTCGTGGCGAGAACGTGAATATTTTGTATCTTGTTTTGACTTGAAAAACGTTGTAGTTGATTCCATTTTCAGATATACTGATGGTGATGTTTATAATCATCATATTTTTCATGTTTTTAATTTAAATGACTTCAAATAGAAAAAAAATATTTATAAATGTATTCATTGTGTATTTGTTTATTGTTTCAGTCACCACTATGGATGCTCCCGCGCAAACGTTAACGACTGTGAAGAAAAGTAAATCAGTGAATTAATTAAATATTTCAGTCCGGATTCACATATTCCGTTTTATTCAAGAATTTATTTTGATTATAATCTTCAGGAAGCCAGTGGTGTAGAATATTGTACACGACGAGATGTTAGAGAAATATTAGTCGTAGATCCCTTTACAGGGACGAAAAAGGCTACAGTGGAAAGGGGAACTGAGTGGGAAGAGGCCGGTGAACTGAAAGACTGTTTTAATGGTAATGCAAATTTTGTTATTTTAGAAGGACTGTAGTCTTTTATAAAGTCACTCCAAGAAACATGTAACCAAAGCCGGGTAGAGTGCTGTCAGTTCTGAAAACTTTCTTGAGGGATTCATAGGAGCCAAAAAGACTACTAAAGTATTTCACGCTATAAGAGTTATTCTCAATCAGGCTTGGGGGCCGAATAACTTCTCCCCGAGTATGATTTGGAACTGGCAGACAAGGAGTAATGAGTAGATCGAAATTATGGCGCTGATTACTATATCAACACACGCCCAATCCAGATTGATGATGAAGAACTTCCTTACATAGACAGATTTACCTATCTCGGCAGCATCATCAGTGGAGATGAAGGAACTGAACTGGACATCCAGAGCCGTTTTAACATGGCCAGAAACTCACTCAACATGATGAATAAGGTATGGCGCTCCTCCACTTACAGTACTCGTACTAATCTTAAACTCTATCACAGCTGCGTTCCAAAAGCTCTGCTGTACGGTTAAGGATGTTGGTGCTTTGACAGAGAAGTATTTATCACAACTCTCCACATTTCACACCGGGAGCCCTAGGCGTATCCTACACACCTCTAGCTTAATGTGATTTCAAATAAAATACTCGCAAGACTTGGCCCTAACGATATGACGATATTCGGAATCGCTTGACTGCGGCAAATCATAAAATCAGGCCAAAAACATGGGCCAAATCAGGCCAAAATCATGGAACAAATTAGGCAACAACACATGGGCCAAATCACGCAAAAATCACAAATCACAAATATTTTTCCCTTGATAATATCATTTTACATCTTCGTTTTTCCTTTTGTGTATGTCATTTTAGCAGTTATTCTGTTTTGTTTTCTTTTTCCCATTCGTTCTGTCAGGAGCCCATTAGCAATAGGCTCCTGTTTCTGTTTACTTTTATTTTCTTATTTTGAATAAGATTTAATATTTTGGCCTCTATTTATGTTATTATTATTTTCATTGATTCATTTTGTGTATGTATAAATATTTTATGAGACAGGCGCAGCCGAAAATCCAATTTTGACGGGTGGGTTAGGGCGTAACCAGGATTTTGGAGAGGAAAAGTAAAATTTGACCTCAGCCTTCCTAATCGTTATAAATTCAATAGCTGCAGCGTATCTCTCCCATTTCATTACTAATTCCTAATTTCTTGATGGATCCATTATTTTAAACCATGTTTTCTAAATCCTACAGTGTTTTCTGTAGTTCGGAAGTCGCCGGCAAAGGCTCTTTTTCCTCAAATTAGAAATCATTTCATTTTCTGTAGCTGTTTTATATACCTTTCCCTAAATTCTTTCTTTTCGATACTTATGCTTTGTCCATTTCGGTCTGGAAATAATGGGCCTTTCAATCTCGTCACATTTTGCAATTGATAGACGATGGAAGTGAAAAGTTAGACTTTTCCTTAGTACCTTTACTCAACGAAACTGAGGCTACGCTCAATGTCCGTTCGTAAACTGCCGTGAAGTTCTCGATATCAAGAAAAAAAGAAGGAGGCTGTAATTCTCTGAGGTGCTGGTAATTTTGGTACAATAATAGATTTCTCACTCACTGGGAAAGGAGAAAGTGGCTTAATCCACGCATGCCTTGCTTTCACTTCACCATCTACTGCGATTGATATTTAATCTGAATCAAGTAACTTGTTTTTTACTGTTTGCATGTTTGGAAGCTCCATGCAAGGAGCTAGTACCCAGTTTCTCTGTTTCCTGCGCTACCCACTACAAATTGGCCATCTCTTGCAGTCTTCTTTGGCGCAGGGTAGGGAGGCTGCTTTTGGCAGAGAGCCAAAGATTTCATACTAAAGGTGTAAAGGAAGAACCCTGTGGGGATCCCTGGTTTGTTCCATCCACGCATTTTGCACGTCTTATAAGTTTACTTGGTTTCTTCTAAGCTCAAAGAAAGATCGCATGAGATTTGAGGACGCGTCCGAAAAGCCGTATGCCTTAAGGTTCTGAATCATTAGAACAAGATACAGCGAGTCGAACGTTTTGCTCATATGAGTGGATAATTCAGTCACACTTTCCTTACTATTAGCAGTTGTTTTCTAATCCTCAACAAGCCTTATCTCTTATATTCGTTTCAAGCCTTATTAAAGTTGTCTCGCAACAATGTTGTTTTCTGTACGCGGCCAGTTTGTGATACAAGTGTGAATCCATGTTTGCCATAACTTCCTAGCAGAACAATGACTTGCACACCTTGTCAACTGAGTCGAGAACAGTTATAGGTCGATAATTGCAATGCCGCTACAATTGCAATTGTGTAATAAGTCAAATTCAAAGACATTTAAATAAAATAAATGCTTCCAGAGAGGTAAGAATTCGTGATACCTGGCGTGTAACACATTATCCCAATGCACGCACTTAATAACTTCTTTGAGCAGTATTGTCGTGTTTCACGAGCTCTGATAAACGAGGCAGTCCGCCATTACGAAATATGCTAATATTATATTCCTCGTTTATATCGCTTTTATCAGTTCTTTGTCTGATCCGTTTCCTTTATTCTTGACCGGAAACCCTCGATTGAACTCTTAGTCAGACAAAGTTCCTCACCCTATAATAAAAGGAGGAAGAATAATAAAGGAGGAATATCAAAGGAAAAGAGAGAAAAGAAAAGAGGTTGTAACATGGAACTTTTTCAGGAGGGAAAGGGGGGAGGGAGGCTTTCTTTAGCACGAGTCTTACGCTCGTCTCAGGTGGACGCTTATATTTATTCATTTTTTTCCATTTCCCATACCTTACTTAAGAATAAAAATACTAACAGTGTTATTTATCCAAGGAGCTTACGTTACCGAAGGTGTTATAAAGTGAGGCCCTGCAAAATAATAGTAAATTTGAAATAGTTAAAAAATTCAAAAGTACAGAACTACAATGTTCAATATAATTATTGTAAATTAAATACAAAAACATTACAGGATGCACCGACCTCTTAAAAATCTTAGTGACTTTTTGATGTTCTGTTTTGATGTTCTCTGTACTAACTTTATCTTTCACAAACTAGTATATTAGTCAAATTGAATATAATCTGCTTTGACTGATGAAATAGCTTCGTTAACCTCCATCCAAAAGCGCAGACTGGATCTTATCTTGCTTCTCATGAAACACTTTATTTATTCGTGTGTGGTTTTTTCTAAGAACCCAAATCTTCCTGACCTTCAAACCAAACTCCAAATGCAATGGAACATCGTTCACTGACTAGATTTCGCAATTCTCCCCCTCAATATAGCAAGGATTTTTAGCAATGCAAGAATACAAATATGTGTAATATCAAAGGTGTAAAAGCGGCGTTAGTATTATAAGCAAAAAGAAATATCGTATTGTACTGTCAGGATAGTAAGAATAAGCTTTGTTAGTAGCGTAAGTGATCGTATTATATTTTAAATAGTGTATGTATTGTATTGCAAGTAATATCAGTAGTGTACGTCTTAGTTTTGTAAGTGACGCAGTTCATAATACAAAATAAGCCACTATATGGTTACATAATTTAAAATCAAGGCAACACCTGTGGTCACTTTATTTATTTTTTAAGATACAACATTACAAGTCTTTGTTGTTTCATCCCTATAAACACGGCGTCATGTGAAAAGTAAACATAACGTTAAAAGAAATGTGTGTGTAATAAATGCATCCACAGAGGTTCAAATGCGTAATACTTGGATAGTAATCATTTTCCAAATGCACACACTTGATAGCTTCTTTGAAAAGTGTCCGAATCTTCGTGTTTAACAAACCCCAGCAAACGAATCGCCATTAAGACATATGCTAATTCTGTGTTCCTCGTGTATATCGCTTTTATCAGTTCTTTGTATGATTCATTTCCTTTATTCTTGACCGGAAACGCTCGATTGCACTCTTAGTCCGACAAAGTTCCTCTCCCTCCCCCCCAGCCTGGTATTTCAAAACTCATTACACCTACAATTTATACATGTTAAATATGTACTTTCGAGATGGTCGAGCGGCAATCGTAGGCGCGCAACGAGTGCATGAGAGGTCATCGAGGTCGCGGGTTCGAATCACGCTATAGGAGTTATTCTCAATCTGGCTTGGGGGCCGAATAACTTCTCCCCGAGTATGATTTGGAGCTGGCGGACAAGGAGTAACTCTCGAACTGGCTTGGGGGCCGAGTAACTCCTCCCCGCGAAATTTGCATTTTTTTTTTCGCTTTTTTTTCTCTACTTTTTCTCCTTATTATCATCATTTTTATCTTCTTTTTTAGTTTTCCCTTTTTTGTTTCTGAGCAGTTTTCTTTTTCAGGCTACTTTGTTAATTGTTAGTTATATTCTGAATCCTGTGGTGTTTTCTGTTGCTCAGAAGTCGCCGGCAAAGACTCTTTTTCCTTGAAATCGAAATGGTGTTGTTTTCTTTAACCGTTTTATGTTTTTTTCAACCTATTTTCTTCCTTTGACGTTTCTTATGTATTATCCATTTCAAGCTCGTAATCCTTCGATGGGCAATGCAAGTTAAAAAGAGGTAAACGTCTTCTCAGTGTATCTACGTGCCGAACGATGACGTTAAGATGTCGATGTCCGATCGTTAACTGCAGTGAAGTTCTCTTTGTCGAGAATAAAATGAAGAAACGGGCTAGTAAGTGTTTGAGGATCCATGCTGGCGCACATCTTCGACATCAGCCTAATTTTCCGTAATCATGCGAAATGTCATGTATTGGTAATCGTTTGAAATCGTATGCAACTTTACTAGATGCAAATTCAAAACATGGAATTAAAGGAAACATGTCGTTCTTGTCGCTTGAAACGTTGCTTTTGTTTCAGTTATGCCGATATTGTTTGTTCAGGTCTAGTAAAGTTTTTAGTTAGCATCAACTTTACAATTTGTTATGGCTTAACTAGATACAACTGGTTCTAATAGCTCACCTTGATTACTGAGTGTGTTTGTAAACTAAATCAAGACGTTAAGGTCATTAGGGGGAGGATATTTGGGAAAAAGAACCCTCTTCTTACTTGTGGTCCAAGTTATTGGAAACTTTTCACCTCCTTTCTCTCAGATAATGTTTTCGTAAATCAATTTCGGACGACAATCAGAAGTGTCAGTGATAAATATACTGACGATGCTTGCGTCAATCCCGCTTTAAAATGTAAGATGGTTAACTACTTAACAAATAGATTCTAAGTTGCCGTGCGTCTGTTCAGTAATAGATCACAGATGACGTCAAAATGTGGTAAGAACAAAAAAGTGGCATACGAGGTGCAGCCTAGTGTGTCACTCACTTTGGAGCTGGTGGACAAGGAGTAACTCTGGAACTGGCTTGGGGGCCGAGTAACTCCTCCCCGCGAAATCTGCATTTTTGTTTTTTGCTGTTTTTTCTACTTTTTCTCCTTATTATCATTATTTTCATCTTCTTTTTTCCTTTTTTTCGTTTCTGAGCAGTTTTCTTTCTCGGGCCACTTTGTTAATTTTTAGTTATATTCTGAATCCTGTAGTGTTTTCTATTGCTCAGAAGTCGCCGGAAAATTCTCTTTTTCCTTAAAACAGAAACGGTTTGTTTTGCTTTAACCGTTTTATGTATTTTTTTTACCTCTTTTCTTCCTTTTTCCGTTTCTTATGTATTATCCATTTCATGCTTGTCATCCTTCGAAATGCAATGCAAGTTGGAAGGAAATACAATAAATTTAGAATAAAATGAAGAAACTGGCTGGAAGTGTTTGAGGATCCATGCTGGCGCACATCTTTGACATCAGCCTAACTTTCCGTAATCATGTGCAATGTCATGTATCGTAATCGTTTGCAATCATTTGCAACGAACTCGTTCAAAATTGGACAGAGCCCCATGATCTTAATACAAGAGTATCCCCAATACCATCTCTTGACTAGAAGCAAGATTCAAAATATAGAATTAAAGGAAACATGTTTTCATGACGCTTGAAACGTTGCTTTTTTTTGCTAGGTCGATATTGTTTGTTTAGGTCAAATAAAGTTTTTTGTTAGCATCAACTTTACAATTTGTCATGGTTTAACCAGATACAACTGGTTCTAGTAGCTCACCTTGATTACTGAGTGTGTTTTTAAACTTAATTAAGTTGTTAAATTCCCTATCGCCGACTATGGCTTCTGACACCCTTCATGGCCTTCCTGTTGGTCGTCAGAGGGGAGGAGGTTTGGGCAAAGGTACCTTCTTCTTACTTGTAGTCCAAGTTATTGGAAACTTTACACCTCCTTTCTCTCAGATAATGATTTCGTAATTAAATTTCGGACGACAATCAGAAGTGTCAATGATAAATATGCTGACGACGACTGCATCAATCCCGCTTTAAAATGGAAGATGGTTAAATACAAAAGTACGTCGGTTACTTTTACGAAGGAAATTTGTATTTTTGGTCAGAAATGATCTGCGAGAAAAATGTGAAGTCTACGGACCACTTCCTCTCTTTGCTTCTGTACGGCATAACTCTCTGATAGGAATCGACCCGTTTTTTATAAATCATGGTGCTCTTAAGCCATCAGTTCAGTAAGTTGCAGATTTATTCAGTTAAAGTCTCGAACGCCTTGTTATCCTTGCATGAACTGAAAGGGCTTTTTGATGAAAATGCAAATTTTGTTATTATAAAAGGACTGCTATCTTCTTTATTAAGGGATTCATAGGAACCAAAAAGACCAAATAAGATTCCCCAATCTAAAAGAGGTAATTTAACGTAGAGAAAGAAATTTTGGAGATGGGGGAGGCCTTGGGGGGCGTCAAGCTCATGGCAATAGACGGGCAGATGTGGAGGGAGCACGTTGCTGCCCCACATGACATCTAAGCGTAAAAGGGCATGAGTTGAAAGACCGTTTCAATGATAATGCAATTTTGTTATTATAAAAGGACTGCAATCTTCTCTAGAGTCACTCAAAGAAACATGTAAATAAAGGCAGAGCGCTGTCAGTTCCGAAAACTTTATTGAGGAATTCATAGGAGCCAAAAAGACCAATAAAGTCTTTAACAAGAAGCTGATTTCTATGAAGCAGATATGTCCTACTCAACGTCAGAGAAAATGGATTGAGAACT